TTTTGCTCTACTCACTAACCACCTACTCTCCTAACATTTTCCGTGGTACTTTAACTCTACTTTCCTAATATCTATTACAATATTTTCACTAACCGACTACTACCTGATATGAACCATCTACTATTCTAACCTCTACCACTCCACTGTCACTAACCGTTTTCTACCTTACATAAACAATCTACTCTCCAAACCTTTTCCGCTGTACTTTTACTAACCGTTCTCTACCTTTTATAAACTAACTTTACTCTCCTAACATCTATTACAGTATTCTCACTAACCGTTCTCTACCTTATATAAACTAACTTTAATCTCCTAACATCTATTACAGTATTCTCACTAACCGTTCTCTACCTTATACAAACCACATTTTACTCTGCTTACCTCTCCCACTGTACTGTCACTTACAGTTCCCCTCTATATATATTCTCTCATTAAACGGTCTCTTTCCTTTATAACCCATACCTTACTTAATACTCTCCTTATATCTACTACTGTACTTAAATAAATTACTATCTACACATATATTATTCTCCTAAACGGCGCTACTGTATCAAAACGGAGTTGGTGTGTTTAATTACAATAGTTTTGTAAGAAGAGTAAGTAGAGATGCTTTTTTTGTCTCTTTCGTTGGAACTGTTTTTTTCTTTATCCATTACATGTTTTATTTATCTCTCTTTTCTAATTTGCCGTTTTCTTCCTGTCGGTACCAAACAAATACGTACACTGCAGTTGTTACTGTATGTATTTTTAAAAATGGACTGATATATTGACATACATTGCCTTTTTGTGTAAAGTTTGATTAAAATATTTTCATGTTCTTAACAAAGTTGCAATAAGCTATAATTATCTTATATACTTAAGGCATATGCTTTCGTTAATGTTAATGATTCAATAAAGTTTGATTAACTCTAAAAAAAAAACCCGACATATTATGTTATCTAACGAAAATCAATTAAAGGATGCTGGAATAATAGGAAAAATGAAAATTCAAACAGAATGCTTGTTATCACATATGACTATTTTGTAAAAGCAAACAATTTTATTACAGGAAATGTAGACATAAACCTGTTTGTATGGACAGACATCACCACTTAGTTAATGGACTTTTAATGTCAATATCTCTAACGGGATTTGATCACACAACAGGCTACAAACAGAATGAAATAATCTTCAATATAAACAGGTGTCTCCCTTTAGCTTTATGGTGCAGTAAGATGTTTTTGTGAAATTGTTTTGGCGTTCTGGATCGACAAACTAAAAATTTAAATATGTGCCTCCTTAATTACTTCTACGATGAAAACAAATCAAATATATTAGCATTTTTCTTCATTTTGATGCTCGATTATTGTGTCTTTGTTGACATGGGCGATACCGACTTGAACTACAAGCTTGTACAATGTATAGTTGTTGTACAGGTACAGTTAAATATCCATTGAATGCTTAACGAAAAATTTACAAAAGATATTCCCTTTCGGTGTTTCAATTATCTTTCCAATTTCATGCGTTGAATCAATACAAGATACATAAAGACACGATAATAATCTGAGAAATAACTGCTCCGGACAAATCTAAAAGAAACTTTTTCTGTTTTTGATATATCCGAAAGCTGACAATGCTCCGTCGAGCTATATCCTTTGCGGAAGCTCGATATGCGTTTACATGCTGTTGTACATTGTGACGTCATAGCACTGCTACTAATGTCTCCAACAAAAACGTGTTCACTTTATTTACATGCGTACTTTAAGAGATATCAGGAAACAGAATATTATTCTCATTAGTTTTATTCATAAGATTTTTTTTTTTAAATCATTAGTTAGAAGAGGAATTGTGTCATATATCATAACGGATGTCATGTAGTTCATACATTTGATTAAACAATACTAATAATGTTTAGACGGTTAACCAACACAGTCATTAATACCATTTATTCACCATCACTCCACATGTTATACGCTGACGGCTGTAACCATCATTTGGAGCTCTATATATTGGCTTTGTTGTAATGAATCTGTCGATCTCTTTCCTTTAGTTTTAATGTATTGTACTTTACTGCTTCTTCTCATAAAGATTTGATTGATGTTGATTTTAGATATGAAGTGATAATAAGCGTCTCAAAACGTCTTTATCCTTAGGACGCTGTGACGATCCGTTTTTTCCTAAACAATAAATCATTTATGAAACACACATTTGTTTCGTTGATAACGTATCAAGTTCATGATTACAAAGTTGTTGTTGCACTTTATCTTTTACATATTTTTCATAAAAAAATGGACAGATATAATACAAGTAAATTCACGTGAAACATTTCCTTATTAATTAAATTGCGATGATAGGTGATAAGTGATTCTGGTTTAATTGTATGATGGCGAGTCTTGTTGGTACTAAGCTACAAGGAACCTCTACAACATGGAACATACGCTTGAGTATTTATGGACCTCCTGACCACATTAAATAAAAATAACATTTGACAGCGCTCGTAAAGATTGTCAGCCTTAACAAACGTAATGATGAATAATTCTTGTCTAACATAGATAGACAAGTGTCCAAACAATGGCTGAAGTAATGATTAGTATGTGGCGTCATGCTTCACTGATCTGTCAGGTTGTCAACCTTCGTCACCCCATCAGACACCCTCTGGCCTAAATATCACATATAAGGTCAGAGTTATACAGACAAAAATCATCTGTTTTGTAAGAAAGATAAAGTTTTTAAAACATTGATCAATTAACGGAAAATGTGAAAACAAATATTATTTTTCTACCTATTTTTAACATTTTTACCTTATGAAGTTATTGTATGGTCATCGTTAAATTAACCTGTAACGACCGCCAACATCAGATAATGACATCTGGTAATTGCTCTTTAAGTGCAAACTCTTAATAAAGTCTCTATACTGTATTAATATCGCTTTAACGTAGAAACAATCGAGGCCAGTACACACATCAAAGTGTTAACATTGTTCCTTAATGTGAATTATATCAACATCAAAACAAACAAATGTGTGTTTGTTTTAGCAAGGGTACATACTAGTCTTTGATCTGTATATTTACATTAACTTATTTACCAGAGAATATGTTATAAAAGACATATGTATATATAGATCATTAATTGCTCTTTGTTTCCATTCCATAGGGGGAAGGGGGATAAACTTTTTATAAATTCATATCACATGGCTTAAATGATAGGAAGAATAGCATATGAGGTTGATAAAAATACTGGAATTGTGATAGAAAAGTCGGTTGTCGGGCGTAAATTCTCCCATTTCCGATATATGTTTGACTAGTATTTGATCCTATCGAACAAAGGGGTATGTGGTTTTCCTGAATGTGTTGACCGATATGATTAATTTGTTTTGAATCTGTACTGATTTTTTTCATCGAGCATGTCTAAACTACTCTATAGTGTAACGTTATTGTGGACTGTATGCTGTTGTAACCACCGAATACCTAGTTGATGACAAGCACGATCCTTTTCTTTCTAGACACTCGTAGACAATGTTTTATGTCTTTGTATAGGATTATGTTTAATTTTATCGTAATTAGTTTCTTTTACTTTGTGATTCAATAATTTTTTCCACATGCTCTTAGTGATTGTATACCAAGGAACAGTGACCATATCCGGACTGATTACATTGGTACGATTCCTTGACTATACCGGAGTGCAACCATATAATATAGAAAAAGTATTTGTCAATCATCTCTCTACATGCGTAAACATACATCACACACAGTAATTAACCTTTTATGTAATACCAACGTAACTGTTAATTGATTAATTTCGGTATTCCTATCACGGTAAAGTCATTTTACTTCCTTGACTGAGTGGAATATCTAACAAATCGCTTCGTTTTTCTATTGTTGTCTGGTTCGGCTCACACTAACGTGTGGTATACACAAATTGTACACAAAACACCTGATTCGTTTCTGACCTTGGCATGGGGTTTTCCTGATTCGTGTGTACGTAGCTACGAGTATCAGCCAATCTAATGAGTTTTATTTACAAGCCACTATTGACATTTAAGAGAGACCTGCTTCCTGGTCAATTAGGATCTTGACGCAGATTCACGTTTTTATGGGGATATTTTGATAGTGGTAAAGAGTCCATGATAGAATGTACAGTGTACTGTTACATAATTTTGATAGTATATTCTGTAACTTATAAAAAGGCATACAAGACTGGATAATGATACATAATAAAGCAATACTGGTATTTAACACATACTTGTTCGTGATATTGGTTGCTTAACATGTTACTATGAGCTGTGTTTGACCCATATCCTGGACCAACCCATATTTACACAACACTCGCCATATCTGCCCGGCTCACGATATATTCATTTCGGTTCAACACTTTTCAGAAAAATCATCCCTCAAACTGAATTTTCATCTGTATTTACTATTGTGTCACTTGTGTTTTATTAAAGGAAGAATATGACTATAGTAAGGCTCACTCGATTTCTATCAGCCATCGGGCCTCTGGCCCCTGACCCCCAGGGCAGACATGGCGAGCCTCGGTCTGATACCTAGTAGGATATGGAAATGTTCATATAAATGGCCCTTTGATAACCTTTTAATAATAAAGCATACAATACTGGATACTTTTATACAGTTAAGCATACAAGACTGGATACTTTTATACAGTTAAGCATACAAGACTGGATACTTTTATACTGTAAAGCATATAAGACTAGATAATGTCATATGCTAACGCATACAAAACTGGATAATTTCAAAGAGTAAAGCATACAAGACTGGATAATAGTCCGTAATGGTATAAAAATAAAGTTTTTCAATACCACAATAAAATCGTATATGTCATACATACTGCCCGTGATTTGTGGTATTTTGTGGTATTCTCTAATATTTCCTTCTTTTTACCTGATGGGTTTTTAGATATCTTTAGATATATGTCTATGCGCAACCAACAGGCATTCGTTTCTTCGGGTTTTTTTTTTTTTTTTTTTTTTTTTTTTTTTTTTTNTAATGTCATTTACATTGTAGATTAAACAACAATGATGAAATCCCTTTATACACTGCTGCCTATCACGATATTACTCTTTCTACAAAAAGCACATGGTATGTACAATTGCCTATGCAAATAGTGTTTATACTTATTATGTATTAATGTTGAAGTTCAAGGAATAAAACAATATGTACACCTGCCTATTTTTATTAAAAAAAAAACTAAAATTTTAGTTTATATAAAATAAATATGTATTTGTTACACATGATTTGCAACTTTATTGAAAAATAGAAATGCATTATCACATTTCATCATTTTACTTCAAACCAATTATCCATCATATATATACATATACTGTGGCGTAAACTAACTGTTGTATTGCTTTTACGACAGGCCAGGGGGAGTTTTTCGGAAACATCAGACCCGTAAGTAGATTTAATGGCTTTTTTGGACAGAGATTTCGTGCAGCATCAAATATCCCACAAAATGGACAACAGCAACAACAACCCACAACTCAACCACAACAACAACAACAACAACAACAACAACAACAGCAACAACAACAACCACAGTCTACAAATAATGCAGCAACATCAACGACCGGGGCTTCGACAGCGTCTAACAATCCCCAGTTACCATCAAATACCCAGGCTATCCCCAGACAAGTTGGGACAGTAACGGTCCCCATCATAGGTCCCTTTCCATCCGACAGTGTGCAGCAGACACCAACAGAAATGTTTGGCATGGGACAGCAAGGTCCTTTCAATCGCATGGGACAACCCATGTTACCTTCCCAGGATATGTCCCCTTTCGGAGCGCCTGGTGGCTTCAATCCAATGCTCGCAAGACGACAACAGCAGATGCAGCAGATGCAACAGATGCAGCAGATGCAGATGCAGCAGATGCAGCAACAAAGACAGCAGCAGCAGCAACAATCCATGTTGCCGTTCGACCAACAACAACGCATGTCCTCATTTCCATCTCAGTTTGGGTCGTCCCCTCAAAGAGGTATAAACAATCTGTTACTGAGGGAAGGCGAGCAGATGCTCATTCTACCAAATAGCATGGCTCAAACACTGATGTCAATGCGGAACGGAAACAGACGGGAATTGCGCAGGCTCGCTTTACTTGGTATTCCACGCTCGCTCCTTAGCACGTTCGCAGCACAACCAGAGGTGTTCGCTAACTTACGTAGACAAAATGACACTAACAATGCTGGTGGGGCTAGGACTTCCGTTGTACGACGAAGTAAGTCTGGCTTGGGCTTTGCTTTATTAACCAAATTAATGCAGAATGTCAAGCTGTTATCGGTTGAACAGTATCTGTCAGTTTTTTAAGTGCGATGTCTTGAATATATACCTCGAAATGAGGTTTAATGTTGAAGTCTTGAGGTATATTGTCTGCAAAATTTGAAACAGACTTAAGCATTTAAAAACGGACTTCTATTTTCAATTTAAAATGTTAAATATGTATCGTATGCTCTTAGATATCGCTAGACCGTTAGGAATGAGGATGATTTAGCATATTCCCAGCCCTCTTTCTCTCACACCTAGACAGACTTGACAGTTAAATAACAAAAATGGTAGCCCCAAAAAATCAAACCCGTGGAATGATATGAGAGCCTAGCATATTCATGGAATGATATGAGAGCCTAGCATATTCCTTGCACAATACATCAAATGTCGCGCAGTTCTTCCTTACACTATAGTCTAATAAAAACACAATATCAATTAAAAATTATCGTGTTCTAGGTATACTCAGGATAACATTAACCTAATTTTATTTCGGTAGTGAAACACAAAGGCTTATGTAATGTTGTAGTTACATCAACTTAAATGAGTAGGTGTATGTAAGAAGAAAGTTTTATGTAGATGTTGTAATTATCATTCATCACAAGCAGGTGTAATACCCAGTTTGGACAGTTTACTCATTGACTTTTAATGTATTGCTAAATTTATACACATGTAATCATGAAGACAGACAAACTTACCCACTCTGTCATTAACGGTAGTTAGTTAAGGGGGCGTTAGTCCCAAACCACACGTCAGTATACCACGTCACCTCCGATATCTCTAATTCATTACTACGGATCGCTAATCATGGCGACTTTATGTTTAGTCATCGTATTCTTAATCACAAGGGAACATAAATAATTATCTAAACCATTTATTGATTTTAAAAAACCACAGTAAAATAAATAAAATAACAATAAATTTTAAAGATCTGAAAAAACCTTAGTGATGGACTGGTTAAGTAAATTCAAGAAAATATCCTGAGTTTTTAGGTAACAGAAATTACTTTCTACTTAATTTCACCATAGATATACACTTTTTTAAGCCACACTGAGCTGTTGTTTCAGACAACGAGGATTATGATTCTGATTATATTTAGTAAGATGAGAACGCTTAATTAATATTTTTGTTGATGTTTGAATAAACAGGGTGTTCATTTTGCATACAAATTTTGAAAATTGACGCTCTACCTTTAACACCTCATTTAAGATTATTTTTACATTGTAAAAACATTTTTGAATACAAATTATCAAAAGTAAATTGAGGACATCCCAATCAATTAATTTCTGCTGTTTTGTATAATTCTGATATACCCCTTTCAAACTATTACAAAACTATTGTTGAACACACTGTTTCCTTAATGCTTCGCTTTTTTGTTATGCTTATATAACAGCATATTTCAACGAAAATTTAACTGCATGTACGCTTCTATACATCGTTATTCACGTATTTATTGCACACATATACATATTAATCTTTTTACGTTTATAGTTCAGTTTTGATATCGGAAACATTGTACAATCGAAAAGATATAGAGAAGTTGTCCTCCTTATTATTTAGAATGACTCACAACCTGAATGTGATATGAAGCTGATTGTGGCGGTTGTGTTGGACGACAAGACTTTTAAGGTGTAAGCCTTATAATTTATACAATTCGCTGTTGTTATCAGTGATTATATAGCAGGCACGCGTGCAAGTGTTTTTGTATAAAGAAAATCTACATTATCATGTTTGTGTAAGAATCTGACATATCGGTTGCTTTTATTGCTTTCATCGCAGTATTCAAAATCAGATAGGAGCACAAATGAAACAATGTTATTAAGGAATCTTCGATAAATGGAACTGCTGATGTATAAGGCGATGCGGATAAGGTTTCGGGATATATAGCTCGTATACACAGTGCATGCTCGTATAAACATAATTAATAAATACGACTAATAATAGGAGAGTAAATATACATGTATATATACATGTTAAAGCCTTTTTTGCCTTAGAAGCTGATAGTTGGATACAGTATTGCTATTCTGATTTGTATGGAATGTTTAAATGGCTGTGGGCTGTGTCATAAAACTAGAATATCATTTATTATTCCAATCAACTTAAATAACTTTAATGTACTTTTTGTATCTTAACCACGTTTATTGAACTCAGGAAATCAGCAGGTCACAATTCCCGAGCAAACACAAAATATCAACTTTCCTCGGACACTTCCTCCAGAGGTTAGGAGGGAGATGCAGAGGGCTGGAATTGGGAGAATGACAGGTGTGTCTCCGAGATTTGGTGGTAAGTAATTTCAGAAAATGAAAGCTGTATATATGTTATATCAAGGAATTGGTAGTCAATAATTAAGATAGAACAATAATTATATTGGTTTATTGAGTGTCAGGACATGGTGTTTAGAAAAATACTAAGGCATTCCTTCAACAAAATCGAATATTTACTTACTGAACGTTAATTTGGGAAGTAAATATCTAACTTTTGTTGTTTTCTTGCTATCATGAACTTTTACTCATTTGTAGTTTCCATAATTATATAAAGCAAACCGTTAAGTTGTACTTACGTCGAACGCAAGCGATAATGCAGGGGTAAACACACCCGACACATCAGTTGAAGTCATGCTTTCAATTCTAAACACTTTTTTCCTCATCCGGGTGTAATTGTTTTATTGAAATGATAATGAAAGCACCGACTATCCAATCTGATGTCGAAATGAGTGTTTTTTGTTCAAATATCCTTGTTGACCAAAGGAAAACATTATAGTTTTCAAAGTTATAAAGCACTTAGTGATATATTGATCGGAATCGCTGCCGTTGATCGTTGACTCGGGCTTCATATGATCATAAGGTCTTTTAGTTGATGTTGGCATTATGATTCACATTTGTGAAAACAGAATAAAGAAAAGAAGAAGGTTGACTGATAAACTGCCTAGTGAAAAGGCTTGTCTTAGTATCTACAGATACGCTTCAATTCACTTCCGATAAAGTTAAAGTTTAATATGACCGAATTGATACAGCAACGTAATGTGTTAAGTGCCCTAATACCTTAGCATAATAATCGGGAACGAATATCGGTATTCTTGAATTATCTATTTATAGAACCGTGTGCTTTTCATGAAACAAGTTACATGCGAATTTCTCATATACATTATTAGGAAATGCCAACTGCCTTTAAAGCAGAAATTTGCAAATTGGTGTATGCGCAAGAGTATTCATTGCATGCATTTACATATTCGTAATAAGTTCAGGAGTAACAATTTCACTTACAACGTAATATTTTTTCTTATCTGGTCTTATATTATTTCCCCATCAAACAACATTTAATGTTTACCATTCAATATATATTTAGTTCCTATTTCAGTATATTATGATACTTGGTTTTAGTCCCCATACATATATAGCCAAAAGTCCTAATCAGATAGTGTATGTATTGCAAAAAATTGATTACATCACATTTATTTTTTTAAATTATATCATTTAAACAAAACGTTTTTTTCTTGATTAAAATACAATATCAATTCTATAGATGTTGTTATATAATCTGACATACTTTCTTTCTGTTAGAAATCAAACCCCTACCCGAGATTACAGAGGTTATTGAAGGTATGAATGGTGATATTTCGGCTTTTGGGCACCCTTCATACGACTACTTACAATGACTCACATTAAGTCATGCTGTCATTTTAAGCTTTTATTTTGTAATTGGTGAGAGTCTTTTATCTGATATATAAACCAAACTTGGTGTGTGTTTTAATTGAGCAGTGGATTGGGTCCATCTTCTCCTATCATTCATTATTTACATTCACATGATAATGATGAAAGCTATTAATATCCCAATAATAAGTGCATTTTCTTTTTCTTTTTATGTTTACATTTGAAGAAGTGATACATGCTTTTGAGATAAGGTCAATATGAATATGTGTCTTGCCAAACAAAAGTAGCTTTATATACCATACTGATGATGCAACCTTGCAATAGCAGCTTAAAAAGTGCATACTCGAAGAACTGGTGATGGACAGGGATATCCACAATTACAAATCAAGTAATATGTATATTATATATGAAAAGGTTATATGCACGAGACTGAATTACGGTTATTAATTGGCCGAATCGGTGGCAGATACGTCTCTCACTTTTTGAGAAAATCCACATGTTACGAATATTGTCAACAATCACTGAAACTAACGTTGAATGCCCAATATAACTTCCCGTTGCTTCATCCATCATGACTGTGGATGGCATGGCTAATTGTTTCATGTACCTCTTCTGACTGTTTGTCATATCAATTTATCAATGTGCGACCCTTTAAAGGTCATATCTTCTTAAGATTCAAGCGGCAAAGGACGATAGCTTTAATGTCGTTATTAAAACAAAACAAAAACACAAAAGACAATGGGCTACGTAATGCACAGCTACATGTACGAAACATGGAATGGAAATCTTTTCTTGACATTTTATAAAGTTATGTTTCTTCTAATGAAATGATACGAGGAACATTAAACAAACTAGATTCAGGTTTGGTAAGGGAACATTTGACGCATTTGTTTACATTTTCGCATGTTTTCATTTAGTTCAAAATTTATTGCAAAGAACCGTTAATTGAAAAAATATCTATAGTGTTAACAACGTATATCATAATGTGATTTGTATTCGCGTACCTTTTTTTTTGCTATTTGACTTTATTACAAAATATGTTTATACAATTATATGATACGGTCTTATGTTATAATAATAACATTGCATTTCTTTGACATAATCACATATTTTCTACAAAATATTGGTGCATATTCAAAGATAAATGCTATTTAACAGTACTGTTCTCTCGAAATATGAATGCATCGTGTATTATATTGCTCCCATAACAGTGTAAGTTTCATTACTATCTGCCCATTTAAAAGTAAGATGATTTCAAATTGTTAGAAAAGACATTTATTCACCTACATATTGTTGGGAGAGGGGGTGTTTTTAAGAAAATATCTACTTCTACAATCGTTTATGACTTATATCCATAACGTCTCGTGAGCCAAACCCTGCTGACGCTCATGAGTTATCAATTTTATGATTCAGATATTATTTCAATCAAAGTTGCGATATTTATGCTTGCATTTTTGTAGATACAGACATTTTCGCATTTACGTATTGTTTTCTTTTTACGCTAAACTGGACATGACCTTCAGCAATGAAACAATACCTTATGATTTATTATACAGTTACTTAATAACATGAAACATTTGTGATTTCTGAAGCTAAAACGTTTAGTCTTTTGATATTTTTATTTTAAAAAGAATTTTACCGGTATATCGTTACCTATTTAGTTGAGTTCAATCCTACTATTTGGACATATACTTATTCGCTTTTGTGATACTCACAGCTTTACTATTTCTGTTGTATTTATAGCTAACCGGCCTGGACAGACAACCAATGCCGGAACACAACCAGGTAAAAAGAAAATTTCCCTTCATCATTATAGTTACGTACACTGGTATCGTTTTACTTAAAAAATCATATTTGATTTTAACATATTTTTTTGCATAAATGAAGCAAACGAATTAGGCACAAGTTATATCAACATAACAAAATCATCGGTAACTTTCCAAAAAAAAAATGCAGCATTGAAAATACACGCCTTAGTTATTCTTTTGCATTTTTAACGCTTCATGATTTACTCTATATCTAATTACCCATTTATGATGACATCATTCACTTTTGTTCTGTCCATATTAGTTTTATCAGGGATGCCAACTAGGATGTCAGTCTTTGATGGTTATTTATTCAATAATAATTATATCTATAATTGCTAAATTTATCAACATTGATTTGTATTAATTGTTTTGGTCTTGCTTTCATTGATTATCCAAGCATTAGACAAGTAATGTCAATGTACCTAACTATAACACCTCTAGCATGGTATTATTTCAATTATTTGTTCATTAATGATTCTGTTTAATAATTTCATAACGAAACAGTGTAACGTTCCGCTGCAATCAAGCGATGTCAGTAGTGTGGTTTCCATACATACCAATAAAGCCATCCTTTTTTCTGGTTACTTTTTTATTTTTTAGTCCACAAAATTCTCTTAGAAACGCTTGAGTGTACACGTACATAGTGACTGTGTTTCTAACTATCTTTGGAAGCGATTTATTTCTATATTTAATTGCATTTACAAAACAAATGTTTTTTAATGCAATTGTACTGGTCCATTGTGTTTTAATATCAAAGTTGGTCAACGTTGTTTTTGCTATCAAATGTAATTTTTGAAATAAACTAAATATCATTTTACATAATTATATTACAAAATAAACATGATAACTTTATAGAAATGTACATTTGACGTTTATTGTTTGGGTATAAACTGTACGATGATAAGAAACGAACAGTCTTTACTTGTAACAAAGTTTTTAAATATGAACAGTTATTGCATTGAACCCTTAAAACTGTACCAGCGGGTGTTTTAGACTGAAATCTGTGTCCGTGTTTCAACCGATTTGAAATAATTATTTAGGGGTATGCATAGTATGTGATTGATTCATATTTGACGCTTTATTACGTTAAATATCACCTTCACTAAGGTCTGTGTACTACATATGTCGCACCATTTGTGTTATAGCGAGACCCACCCCTCAACAACTACCACCCCAACAACAACAACAACCTCAACGACCACAGCAGCCTCAGCAGCCTCAGCAGCAGCTTCCAATGCAAGGTACTGATGTTTACCTGTTTCATACTCATGGTGATAAGTGTTGTTTAAAAAACCAAGCAAATGTTCTTTCTATTTAGTTTAGCTGTAAATATTTGTATTTGAAGGTTTCTGTGGGTTTTTTTGAAGTATGTTGTATACGTTGAATACACTCTATAAAGATATTTCGTTTTATAAAGGCTCATCAACCACATTTAATGCACCAGGCCGGCAGGTTACAACATCCCAGCAAGGTAAAACTGAATAAAATGGGTGCAATCAATGCGTAGCAATGTCAGAAAGTTATTTTTTAATGGTATTGATATCAGACAATTGCTGTAGTTTACAAAGAACAAATATATATAGATGTTAATTTATTATTTCTTATGTCATCATTAACGCATTAAACAAAGAATTATTATGTGAAGAGAATTTCGAAAATAAGACACATGATGCTATCAATATTCATCAATTGACCCTTCTGAAGCCACACGCACCCAGAGCCCGCCAATGCCATCCCAGGTGCCAGGATCATTCGGACAAGGTAGGATACTGAAGCGTATAAAACATTTGTTAAGTTAGAATTATTGAGCTCTATACATTTTTATTACTGTAACGATGTACTCATTATGAATGCAATACTTTTAATTCATATGAATTTAAATGGTACGATACCGTTCGAATTCTGTGAACAAGTGTATGCTACAACTATTTTAGTGTTATTCGTTTTATCTAAGAATATACACGAGTTCCTTAATATGTAATATGTGTATGAATGGTTTGTTGCTTTATTGTGGTCAACTATGATAGGAATATCCAGGTAAATGCAAACAATATTTTCCCTTGAAAATCAGAATTGTGCTTAATTGTATCTCGATTTTGTGCACGTTACAGGAAGAATGCCACCACAGATGATCCCTCCTATGTTTAGAGGCAATATGCAAGGTAGTTAAATGATTAAAAATGTTGTAAGTGACGTCATTCGCAAAGTTAAATCAGCATTGCATTAAAAACGTGGATAAACGTAGATGGAATTAGTTAACTTGCATGTTCATGATGAAAGAAACCTATAAAAACAGACATTTAACAGGTATGTTTGAATTAACAAAATATATGTATTTGTTGTCTAGAGGAAAATATGTAATGTAAGGATACATACAGAATGAATTTATACCATTTTCGTCTTTTCAGGTCCAATGGCAGGGCCAATGAGAGGGCCTATGGGAGGGCCTATGGGAGGGCCTATGGGAGGACCTATGGGAGGGCCTATGGGAGGACCTATGGGAGGGCCTATGGGAGGACCTATGGGAATGCCAACAGGAGGTCCAATGGGAAGTCAAATGGGAAGACCAATGTTTCCAGATGCAACTCAGGCCATACCAGATTCAACAGGTAACTTCATGTGAACATTTTGGCAAACAACGTGGAGATAAATTGTATTTAGTTTAACGAGAACACAACAAAATAACTAATAACACCAACTAACTGCGACAAGTAGAAAAAACAGCAATTTTGACCGAGGAAACACAAAAACAAAAAGGAAACACATTTGATATATGGACTATAAATCTGGAGATAACAGGAAGCAGTTTCACATTCGTTAGTGAATACAACTTTCCGCATAACAACATTCAATTTAATTTCTTGGGAGACATGTTCTAACCGTGTCGAAGGAAAATTCAGATAAACTTTTTAAAAGTGGGAAATTGTTACATGATTATGTATAAACATTCATTTAAAACAACATTGTCATAAATGCAGGGCAGCAGCAACCTCAGCCGCAGCAGCCGCAGCAGCAACCCCAGCCGCAGCAGCCGCAGCAGCAACCCCAGCCGCAGCAACAACAAAATGGCCAGCAAACTCCTCCAGGTGATATATATGCATACTTTTTGTGTAAATGAATATATTTGGCATAACTCGGCAAAGTTTTTACCATTCGGAATTATTTCGGCAATTATCTTATTTTTCAGTTGAATCAGTACTGGATTCCACCTCTTGTTAATACTATATTTTAATACTGCCAACTGGCAATTACAAAATACGATATATTTCAGTATGCTTCAACATATGTCACTGCATAAGACTGTATATTGAACTTTTTTAAATATGACATAATAATACTGTCTTCTACAAAAAATATATCAAAACAAAATATGATATGAAAGTACTGTGCTCTAGCTAAATATATCAAACACGTATACTGTACTGGCAATTATATAATATGATATTATACTACTGTGCTACCAAAATGATACAGGTAGTATAAAACAGAGCGTATGCTGCCAAATACATATATGACAGTGTACACTGTACTATATGCTGAGAAATACAATATAAAATAGATTAATAATGTGTACTGGCAATTAAAAGCTTTAAATTATGTACGTTAAAATGGTTTCATGTGTACACATGCAACATTTTATTCAATTTCGACAGGAATAACTATTGCATAGCATGAATGCTTATATAATACAGCAACATTGTCTTCACCATAAGACTATCTCATAATAATCAATAATATTTTAGATATCTTAATGATAATCAATACAATTTTTGATATCTTTCCACATTTTGAATATTAACTTTTTGCTACTATAATTTACCCCCCCCCCCCTTCCCACACACACACTTAACCACTCTAAAAGTGATAGAATGAACACTGAATATCTAACATTGATTTTTTACTTTTTACGGCCAATGTGTATCTTTTATTCTTCCTGATTCATAGAAATTTATTGATTCTGTAGATTATTTCAATATTCAAAAACTATTGGTCGAAAATGACAAAAGCGATATAATGATATTGTATCTTAATATTACTTCGGTCTTCGGTATTTCTCTTTGTAAAAAATATAATGTTACACAGAAAAGAAACGGTTCTCAATAATGGTGACTTCGTGTAGTAAACTTTCCTGCAAATACTAATATTGAAGCTAGTAGGATTTGCTTAAAGGTTACAGGTTGGTCATTCTGACCGATTCAAACACCAGTTTAACTTTTAAATTCCATTGATGGACCTCGGATATATTTAAGAAATTGAAATGGGTTGTTAGAAATTTTGGTAGTGTGACATATTAATGAATTTGTTTCATGCCAAACAGCTAGTACACAATGGTCTCAAAATCAGCCACAGCAGCTTCCAACCCAACCACAAACAATGCAGGGTATGTTACTGATTTATCATTTGGGTATTAAATAGTGGTATACTGGTCCTTCAATGCATGCATGCTGTTGTCAAATTTAAAGCATAAGTGGCACTTCAAAAAATATAACAAATGAAGATGAATGTTCAACTAACTTTTCAAAATTTAACAATCTAATCTTACTACGACTATAAAACTAGTCACTATATTAAAAGGTATCATTTAATACTAACGGGTTTCTTCAACTTTTCAAAAAAAAATGTAATTGAGTCTTCCTACTAATTTTGCATCATATGGTAACTGGTCTATGGCAAAATATCTTTTCACTAGTTTCTGTTTCAATTAAAAATTGGACATACTTCTGACCAAAACTCGTTTCTGTTTATATCCTTACATCATTAATATCCTTTTATTAACCTTCTCTGACCCTTTGTAGAAATGCATGTGTTTCTAATAGATTATTCTATCCGTATTTTCGACAATTTCAAAGGAATGCAACAAATGGGAATGCCAAATATGGGCGGTATGTTTCCGATGGGCATGTCAAATATGCCAATGATGAGAATGCCAAATATGGGAATGCCGAATATGGGTATACCAAATATGGGAATGCCTAACATGGGTATGCAAAATATGGGCATGCCACAAAATGGTAAGTAAAGATTAATTGAATGGATATTTTATTTAATTGTGTTTGACGCTTTTGTTTTAATGACAATTGTGGAAGCAGCAAATTGCAAATAAAGGATACAATATTTTGTCTATTTTTGTATTTGTATCGCATTATTAGTCTATAATCAAACTTATTTGCAGCTTTGTAATACACCTTAAATAATTTCATATGTTAATTTATTCTTAAAGTTTCGGTAAGTTTACAAATGTTTTTGTTTTGTTGACAACCAGGACAAACCGGTATTCCCCAGATGAGACCACAGCCAGGTCAGCAACCATCAGCAAACAGACAACGTAAGTTTTCAATAAATATTTCGCGATGTAATTATATTTAATCTATCTATCTATCTATCTATCTATCTATCTATCTATCTATCTATCTATCTATCTATCTATCTATCTCAAGCATATATAACGATGTAAAGGAAACGTAAGAAGGCATTGTTTCTAGTCAGTTAGTGTATTGTTTTTGACTTACTTGGTTTCTTGCCATTTCGTAGGTTTTGGAGGATTCTCTGCCATGTCAGGTCTAGGAAATCAAGGCGGCAACATGCCAACAAACAGCGCACCACAACCATCAGGTCAACCAAGTGGCCAATCGACAAATCAAATTACAAACCCTAGCATGCCACAAAACAGTATGCCAAATGGAATTAATTCTGGTATATCTGGAAGATTTCCTATGCCTAATATGTTCCAAAATAACATGGTCGGAAGGCCGGGAAGAATGCAAGGAGGAATGCAGGGAATGCAAGGAGGAATGCAAGGAAGAATGCAGGGAATGCAAGGAGGAATGGAGGGAATGCAAGGAGGAATGCAGGGAATGCAAGGAGGAATGCAGGGAATGCAAGGAGGATTGCAGGGAATGCAAGGAGGAATGCAGGGAATGCCACGCATTTTGCCGGGTATGTCGGGAGGTATGCCTGGAATGTCAGGAGGTATGTCGGGTATGCCAAATGGTATTTCAGGACGTTTTCAGGGTATGCCAAGAAGGATGCCAGGAATGCAGACAGGACCACCACAACAAGGAGGTATTTGCTATTTATTGATATTCAAAAACATCATATTAATTCTTGAGAAGTTGAAATGTAACAAGCGATTTATAATATTTATATGCTATTTTGATATGAAAACTTCATTAAACGTTGTAGAATATCCTTAATAAGGCGTGTCTTGTTTTCAGCTGGATCCGTCCAACAGCCAGATCCAAGTATTCCATCTTTACCAGCCAATATGCCAGTCCCAGGTAAGTAGTTGCTCGTGATTCGTATTAATCGTTTGACCGCCGTACTTTACTTGTCCACTTCAATAAGTGTTCTGTTTATTTTATTTTCTAAGATTTAAACGCTTAAATTCATTTAAACGTCTCAAAATGATTTTACTAAATTTTAGATTTACCTGGCAGCAATCAATCTCCTTTACCTACATCTCTACCATCACGTATGTATTACAATATATATGATAACATTTATACTTCTGTTTTATTTAATATATCATTATTATACAGGATCCATAAACTGGCTTTGGTTTCATAAACATTAGCAGCAGTTTCGATTTTGTTTTTACAAATCAATAACGGTATGCTATTCATTGAAATCGTAAGCACTGATATCGTTCTGTCTACCTTTCAAAATTTGTAATATGAAATGTTCATTCAGCATTGTGGACAAAAGTTATTTGACGATTAACATTTATTGATACAGAAAGTACTCCTGCACCAACGGCTTCTATACCTTCTCTCGGTGACCAGTCCAGACCAATACCATCCTTTCAAGGTCAGTTATTAATACCATAACCTTTATTTCAACGTTATCCATAACTGTCATCTTAAGATATAATTTTTAAATTTAATGTATAAGAATCAATGTTTAGATATGTTCTATTTGTTAGTCATCCTTTCATTTTGCTCACTTTGTTTTGCTTTCTTCATTAAGACGATGAATTCAAAAAAACAAACGATGTTTTTTTTTTTGTATTTCGAGTAATTTTACGTAACAAGGTTATAGACTCAGTTGGTGGACTATCAGCTCTAAAAGTTGACCGAAAACTTGAAACTGAAATTAATTCTGGCATGGTTGACATACAATACTTTTCTGACAATAAATAATCTGATATATATTTTGTTACACAGTTCAGAGTTTATAACCCCTTTCCTTTACTTTTGAGACTGTTTTCGATTTTTAAATCTTTAGAACCTCTGATCAGTCCTCAAGAGACGAAGTGGCCATATGGTGCAATCGGCATTTACGCTGTTTGGCTTTCCACATTGAACAAATTATATGTAAACGACTAACAAAAACTCATGCGATAACTGTTTGTTGTTATAGGGATACAGCCGTTACCCGGAGCGTTCCCCGGAGCGTTCCCCGGAGCGTTCCACCTGCCACCCGTAGCGTTACCACCAATTACAGGTAAAGATATCGTAGAAAGTTACACGTGTCACATCCATACACATGCAATAGCCTTTCCTTGAAAGACAATATAAAAACTTTTTAAATAACATATATTTTACAAATTTATTTTCTTAATGCATCTGTACGTTAAACTTAACAAAAATAAATATCCGTGCCGGACTATCTTTATGGCCTTTTTTCATGCTGGAAATCTAGATTTAAACTTTTAAGTCGTCGTGGCATGAATTTTTATAGAAAGTATTGTTTTCCTATTGTCACTTTAATAGCCAAGATAGTAAAACCTTTACTGGATGGGATCTACAGTGCTGTAACATTTAAGTGTGATGGTTTAACCGTAAAACGTGACTGTAACACGCGTGTCCAGCAAATGCTTACGCTCGTACGTACAGCTGTTTAGCCAAGTGGACTAAGATTTGTAGTTACTGTCTGCTGTTGAAATTTAAAATTTTAAAATTATATGTATTGCATAAATTTGGTATGTATATTCTGTTAACGACTAGGGTATCATGTTCAAACAAAAAAGCCGTTATTTCCAATGTATAATGATATACAGTTCTTAAGTCGTTTATTAAAACTAACATATGTAACAATTTCAAAGTATTCATAAGATGACTCTTTAATTGATATCTTCTTCCAAATGTCATTCAATGACACAAGAACATCCTAACATTCCTTCTCTGCGTAGCTTTGTGAACTTTGAGCATATTATCGTATAATTCAAGCTGTTGATCCACCTGCCATGCCTGGACCCATGGAGGTGCCTGGACCCATTGAGCTGTCTGGACCCATGGATTTGCCAGGATCCTTCGAATTGCCAAGTCCTCTTGACCTTTCAGCTCCCCTTGAACTTTCGGGATTTCCCGCACCTTCAAGTCAAGGTCTACCAAACCCGTTTTCTTTGCCCGGTAATTGAATTAAACATTTTCTGTTTTATATTTCTTTTTTTCATTTTTCATGATTCATTTTGTTCACAGTGTACGAAAAGTGTTTTTCAATAATTTGTTACCTGATGGGGAACGAGGTAACTTATAACAGTTGCTCGAATGCTAATAATGTGAACCCACATTCAATCATATTGTTATGTCAATGAACGATAGCTTCTTTACAAGAGTATGAACAGCCCTTTCGAATTTGCTTATGTTTGTACATTTGATCGTTTCAGCATGGTAATCTTATGTATCAAACAAGGAAGTAAATTGATTCATCTATTAATTTCAAATTACTGATATATTTAATTAAGGTATTATTTTGATTCACTTTTGTCATTCTTAATCTTATAAACAGTATAAGTATAAGTCAAAGAAATACCGTTTAAGTGATCTCCATTTATTTGTTATAAAACAGCTGGAAAACCAGAAAATAAATCCACCTTACCGGGCGCAGGTATGATCGTGTAGGCTGGGCACTGTTAATGTTCAAATATATGTTACTACTATACACGGAACTAGATCTTTTTATTCCAAACACATTTTATATAAAATTAACTGGTCGCATGTTCCTTTACCTTTAACATAACTGAGTATAGCTTCTATTTGATACTGTTAGAGTCTTTGTATGGAGATATTCATTTACACGTTGATTGCGTATCGAAACTGATCAGTGCAGCAACACTTGCTTATGTATAGGTTAGGTGACGCCTACTTATACGTTGCTAGGCTACCGCAAGGTGATCATGTATTGACAACTGTTTCCACGTCCCTTGTCAAATGTTCAGTTACACCTGCTAATAAGTGTCTTGACCAACGTCAAGTTGTTATATGCATATGCCTGTTTATACGCTTCTAACTAGCGTAGCTTATGTACAAGATGCCTGTTTGCACGTGTCTTTACTAAGGTAAAGTGAACGCGTGGTGACGCATGCTGATAGTTGCTTGACTAGTTAATGTTGGTGGAAGCGCCTGTTGATGCGTTCCTTGACTAGCGTCAAATGATCATGTGATGACGTCTATTTTAACGTTGCCTGACTTAAGTATCTCAGCTTTTAGGAACGCTTGCTTCTTGTTTAAGTGACGCCAGTTTGCACGTTTATATACTAACTTTGCGTACGCTTGTGTTTGTTAATTTACTGACTAACGTTTATGATTGTTGCAACGCCTGTATAGACTGTTAACTGCTAGTATTCGAGACATGTTTGTTTTAGCGCCTTAAGCACTATCTGTGATGCGCTTACCTGTGTAATGAGATTTATCATCGAATGTTTAAATACCAGAGCGTTAATATTAGTCAATTTACAGTGAACAGCATAGATGTTATCTGTAGTGACGACTGTTCACTGTAAATTCCTCAATGTACAGTATTTGATGACGCTAGCTTATACGTTCATTGTCTAATGCCACCTGTTTAAATAATTTCATTTGATGAGAGAATGCTGAACAGGTATTTTGCAATGGTAGAATTTTGACAAAAGGTTTTATTTATTCTTTTGTAGATCTATCACCAGAGAAAGTTCCGCCATTCCCAGGTATTTCATTTTTAATTTTATTTACACGGAAAGAAATTTCATTAACGTCTTGTGAATTTTTACGTCAAATTTGGGGAAAACTACATCATAATGATTATTTGAAAATTTCTATTGGTATGTATACCTTTTATTAAAAGTCAAACGAAGCTAATACTAAGGTTCTTTTGGTGGTTACCAGTCTAAGGTGGGAGCCGCTAACGACGATTTTTGGTTTTGGTGAAAATATGGATTTCGAGGAGAGATATTAACCTGTATTTTTCAAGTTTGTTATGAGCTTTTTATGATTTGATTCGCTTGATTTATTATGGAACAATATTTTCTCTGTAAACCATTGAATATAGTGTTGTTATATTGTATGCATGCATAAGTTTGTAAAATTCGCTCTGATTGTTCGAAACAGTCATGAGTTTTGGGCATTTTTCCTTTATTTAAATTCTTAGTCCATTAGCCATTATATTGTTTTCATATACTGTTGTAGGTTTGAACCTCCCCGGATCTTCACCTTCTGGTCCTAGAGGAAGTAGGTATTTAATGTCGGGAATTTGGTACAAATAAGGAAATCGATTCATGTATCATACTAACAGTTATTTTAATATTGGCATTCAGTCGATACACACCATTTCTTTGGTATAGAAATCCAAGCGCATGTGACACCTGCATCTAAGATATTCACTCAAACTGTTGTTAAACACTTGCTATGATGGAGTAAAATAGATCTGTCGTCGGGTGAACAAGTCATAGGTTTAAAAAAGTTCACATACCTCAGTAAAATTTTAAAAAGTAACGACCACAACTCTGAAAACTTAAAACACATTCCTTCCTACGATTTGGTATGCAATGGTCACAATACATCTTTGTTTTCTGATATGGAAGTTCGCAAAATGATACATTAAATCTGTATTTGACGATTACGATCTGTCACTTTGTTTTGAAATACCTTTCATAGAGGGAAGGCGTACTCCAAACGTTATAGCATATCCGAAACACAATGAACCCTTTTTTCCTTCATTCAAAGACATAGTTCTTACTGAATAAATGAAAACCTGTTTAAAAGTCTACCACCTTTAGATTAATTTTCTACAGCCAATTTTGGATATTTTAATGAAATAATAATATAAGGTAGCTTTCAAGGAAAAGCAAGGATGACTTTCTTGCTAAAACATTATATGATAAAAAGATTCAATAATAAATTCGAATAGAAGCAAAAGTTAGAATTAACACAGAAATGTGAGAGCCATTTTTGTGATCATTAAGGTATGTGCATGCATTTAACAAAATTTATATTAAGGAAGATATGTTCGAAAGATTAGAACACTACAAATTTTCTTACATGATTTCCTCAAACCTCACAACCATAACCTTTGCTGAATTAAACTTGTATTTGAGGTGCTGGAATCCCTATTTCCATGCGTGGACGAGCTGGTATGTACCATTCGTCCTTCGCAGACACTTTGCTGAGGATGCGCACACAGTTTTGACACATAAGCTTTGCAGAAACTACCAATGCTTTGTGCTGTGTATATATCCATACTCACCGTCATATGCTGAGGAACTACATCTACTCGAAAAGACATGAATATTCACACACTGTATAAACATGCATGAAAAGTATCGATTCCTGTGAAACTTGAATGATTGAAGACTAGTTTTGTTATTCCAGAATGGCATATCCCGATACTGATACGTCAGCAATATACCCGCATAACAATATCTTACATTTGTTAAACTAATCTTAAACGTGCTTTTAATGATTTTTTTAATGTTTGCTTCCTCGCCTGTGCGGGGGTTGAAGTAGCCATCAATTTTTTCGTCGCCGACTGCGGCGAAGGTGTTGGTGTAAACAGTTCTATTGTATTATAACGTGGAAGTTTGAATGTATGAATATCTGTTGGAATATGCCCCTTCATCATATGGAAATTAACACTTGTGTTTTATCCCTTCTCATCAATACGTTTGTTTTGATGGGATGGTGGATTTAGTGCCTTTGCTTAAAACGCTTAAACAGAAAATACGTTATACTATTACAGCAATGTTTTTGATCATTTGTATGAAATGGAAAATTCAGATTTTCCAGAATTGACAATACAATAATGAACAATTGAATTACAAAAGCAAAATTAATTTTCTGCAAAGAGTAATTGATGTGCAGGAAAGTCGACCTATTATATGATGCAGTCTATGGTAATTATTTTGCACATATCTATAACATTGTATTTATTATAAAGATATTTTATATAAGGTAACAGTATGAATTCATCATTCTGTTCTTTTAGAATTAATTGCCATTTTTATCTCGAAGGTTTCCCAATTGACGCCACTGGGCCTCTCCCACCTCCACAAGGTAAAACTGTTTTTATACATATGTGGTCAATACAAGGGTGATACTCATACGAAATGGTATGATGTATAACAATTACACACCAGCAAACAATATGATATATAAATGAACTGTCTATTCGATTGTATACATGTCAGATATTTGATATTCTATCAGCAAATTGAAACATTTCAAACTTAACATTGAAAAAAAAATTCGATCACCTCTCATTTTAGAATAAACAATTGTCATACACGGTTTAACATGTTAATTTCCCCTAGTACATGTACTTCTATTATCCAAAGTTATATTATTAACTTAAATTGATTTCCGGTTTTAATACTCGCGTACAAAAGGGACGTGTGATAGTACGGGTTCCACCTACTTCGTTTCCACAAAAGATGTTTTATCATTGTCTTTGGACGAACATTGAACTTGATCAGCGGCCACAATGTACAACGTGTACAAGCAAGTTCGAAGTTAAGCGAATTCAGTACATGAATTAAGACCATTTTATTAGTTGATTCTATTCCATTCAAAATACCAAGGCAATGACTAGTTGTGTCTGTGTTAAGTTATGCTGTTCTCTCAAACATTTAGTGAGTTGTTGTCCTTTGTAAACTATATGTCCAGACAACTGGACTCGCTGTTTCCGTCCGAAGTCTGGAAACATAGTAGCATTTACGACCACAAAGTAACTATATGTGCGTTTTCTGACCCCTGCGGTCCTCCTGTTTGTAACACACGGTAAAACCTAGTTACGAGCTCTGCAGATACCCAAGGGAGAAACACTGAACTGTACAATTCATGCGTGGTCTTCACCAGGTACATTTCCGGGCATAAGAGTTCGAGTCCCTGATGGTACACCCGGTAAGATAGTACCTTATATAATCATTGCCTCTGTAGTCGTGAGTAACTTCTATATGGAGGTTAATTATAACGATGTTATGGCATAAAACGCCAAACATAAAGTATATCTAACACGATGCGGAAAGTTAGCTATAAGTGTTTAGTTCGACCATGGATTAGTTGTAGTAGTACTAATATGTATATAAAATCTACTTTGAGTTTACTAAGCCTGCTTTCTATGTTTACAAAGTCCGCTGTGCTCTTTTAGTAGGCATCATCATCATTATAATCATATACATATAAAATCTGATACTGAACCCCGGTTGTCTTCGTGACATGTCAGTGACCACACTAGTTCTCGTTTGTAAGGAATATCCAGACTATATCAAAATTTAATTTCAGACACAGACACTATACATATGTATCGGAACGTTTCAAGACCGTCTCGTCATTTTGTCAAGCTACGACTGAGTGAACGATTTGCATTTTTATTGATTCTACGGTGTGACGAAATTGTAAACGTTTTTTCATCATTCGACTACAGAACAATTCGACTACTGTTGGAGGATATCTATACACTGCCTCAGGAATATCCTGCATATGACTGATTTAACCCAATACTATGATACTTACATGATGCTATGAACGTACCAGAGCTGATGCATTACTGTTCCTAAAGACGGATTCTTGTACAGGCACACTTAATAAATACTTTCGCATTCGTTACGTCATGACACGTGCAATAAAACTTGAATTAGACTTTCTCCGATCTGCATGATTTTCTTTTCTTTACTATATCTATAATGTAGTCCTCCCTGTTGTTTTGGTACGTCTGTAATGTTTTCTGGACTCCCAATACTGTAACATGTGGGTTTTATTATTAACTCTTGTCTATGGTGCTGAATAATGTTTCCACTCCTAACGTCTTCATTTCACTGTCGTAGTCCTTTATCTAGAAAGTTATGAAACATTTTTGGACCCTTCCCTTTTTTTCTTCTACATATCACCTTGACCCTCTGGGGCTATTAGAAAGCATGGGCAATTTGTTTAGAGTTCTAAGTAGTCAGTTTTTAGTTAGTTAAACTGTTTGATATATCAGTGTAGTTTTTTTTGTTGTTGCTATCATTAAATTGTTCTAAACCGTTTCACCTAAATAAAGTTTGTTCTACTTTGTTTATAACATATGAAATATATTGATGCCATTGTGTTCATTGTTACATTTATTTGAAACACTGCATTTTTTAGCATCTATATATAAATACAAGTAAAACTGACTCTGTCGATTGTGTTTAGCTTAAGGATCCCTGTCCCACTGCACTGCCGGTTTTTTTCATTCACAGTAACCTCCCCTTAACTCCCGTTTGTAACTGTAACACACTCGGTGACAGTGATAGTAAAACAATCTGAGCCCAGTCCCGGTCTAGCAGCACATATACTTTACACTCAGAATACTCTTGTTATATTTCATTTTTTTTCTCATAAAAATACCGCAGGGTATGGTTATGTCATGCGGGAATTTTTTTTCCAAAATTTAGTAACAGATTTTGGCAGTGTTACGGGGATCCTTAAATTTATATTACCTTTGGAAATCTTCATTATCTATTTGAAATCTTTTCTTAATGTCTTACTTTTAACTAAACTTATACTCTTTTCTTCTTTTTATAACTTTGCATGTTCTAACCTTTCCATAGATGTTAATGCTGGCGAGCCAGTGTCAAACATAACACCACCACCTCCTTCCTCTTCTGACTTCTCTGCAAACGCGCTACCTGGACCTGATGCGATGCTTGGCATTGGAGGAGCCCCTCCTGGATTTTCACCTTTGGACCTTAGTGGTTTTCCTGGTCTAGACACTTCCGCACCATTTCCAAGTTTAGATTCTACTGCATCATTTCCAAGTTCAGACTCTTTGCCTATTGGCGGTAGCGTGGCAAGTCCGTCATCTTCATCTATTTCAAACACAGATATTTTTAATGCATCACCAGTGGATCCGTTCCCTTTTAATACCGCCGGTAAATAAAATGTCAATGAATGTATCGCACTGCTATGTCATTGCACTACAAATAGACATATAATCGTCTCAAGGAGACACGTTTTGAAATACACGACTGTATTGGCACGGAAATCACAAGCTTGTACCATTTTGTATCACATTGGCATAAAATATTCCAACTGCTGTCTTGTTGTCTTTTATACTATTGCGCTTTTCTCACATAACTCAATTTACGGGACGTTACGAAAGTTTGTTGACGTTGTTTCTGTGACGACCTGTTATATGTTTTATCATTTGCAAAGACTACATGATTGTATGCATTATAAAAATTACAATAAAGTATTTAATGATAACGTGAGAGCATATTCCTTGATATAATCGTCGAATGTGTTTTCAAGTAAAGGGTATCAGCACGTTATACTTTATTATAAATATTGTCGCTGTTGTGATATATTTCAATCCAATTTCCATTCTACATTGTACTAATGTCGCCATTTAGGAATTATAAACACACAGCATCAAAATGAGTGTCCAATTTATTGGACACAAAAGCCTATGAAAAACAAAGAATTTTGAAAGATATGTTTCTTGACAAGGGGAAATACTCTAAAACAGATAAAAACCCTTTTGATTGCCTCATCTCCAATTGAGAAGGAATAATGCTCTAAGTAAAAAATAATATCTCTGAGTAGAACTCTTCTCCGTGATTATAACTGATACATTGTTACCATTTACCTTAAAACGTGATATAGGTTGGGATGTTATGTTTAAATCTTGTCACATCGTAACCAAATAAAATACGTGAACATCCCTAACCTCTTGTTAATATGTAAATAATAACAATAAAATACACTCCTGTGACATAATAATTTGTTACTAAACGACAATACAGCTGTATATAACACTAACCAATGCTTCTTATACTGTGCAACAGTTGCAACTCTTTGACGATAATGAAATGATGGGATACTGTACTGTAGTTATAACTCCGGGTTACATTGACGACTTATATATTGCCAATGAAAAGGTCTTTGTTGTAGCAGGCAGATATCGCACTACAGATAATTATTATACCCAACTGTAAATCTGCCTTTATAGTGAACTGCTGTTTCTCCTGGTATCCCGGTTACTTTATACAATATATATTTTCTGCCTAAATCTGGTTTCCACAGTCATGAGGTACATTATCTGCTTAACAACAAAAGCTAAAACATGTCAACGGTTCCAGATTTCAAGGGTGCTTATATTGTTTGTTTGTGTGACTTTATATTGGATATTTGTTTTTAATTTGACTGTTTTTTCGTCTCTCCGTTCTATGCATTCATAATCGGAGATAGTTTTTCCAAGACACAAACTACATATACAAACAAATCTCGTTTACAGACCAATTTGGTCAAATACAAGAGCGGAAGGTAATACAGTAATGGGTAAACATCAATATGTTTTAACAATATTGACAAATGTAAACATCAATATGTTTTAATGATATTGACAAATGTAAACATCAATATGTGTTAATGATATTGACAAATGTAAACATCAATATGTAAACTGTTCTAACCTCTAATAAAGCAAAATATGTGTCAATAGCTGTTTTGATGTTGAAATGGTATTCCTACCACAAATGCCCTGGTTTATCAACACCCATGACATCCACTACACAGTAGAACTATTGATCAAACATAGGAGTGTAGCAACTGGTTTATTTACACCTTCCGTCTGTTTGACTAGTTAAAATCCTAAACTATGGAACGTGGCGGTTTGAAGATTAGTACCCCTTGATTTGCGATCCACAGTAATGGATTCGTAATACAGTACCAAAATAGATGTTTAAATTTTACAAGTGGCTAGCTCTACCGAACAGTCAAAATTGATAATGCAATATAATTGAACAAACTTCCTGTTTGACGCGTTCTTTGTAAAAACAAAATAAATAAAACGCTTAATCTAATTCCTGCTTGTTAATTTTTTAATTTGAATAAGTAGAAAACTCGCTCAAGCTCGTTTTATGTTACATCTGGAAATTAATCAACTCAATTAAGATACAACTAATAGTCAGTAATTGCACTCTGTGAATCTTTATGTACATGGCCTAATTAATGGCTGCTTTCTGTTCGGAACCACCATTAGTGATAGTTGCTATACAATATCATTGTAATCTACTTTTAAAATATAACTGACAAATTCATTGTATGGACATCGCATACCGATAGCGTTTTTAAATGATTGTAGATTTTTGGGATTTTACATTGATATTTATGGGCAACACAAAACAAAAAGTACGCATTTTACATACAATGCTATTTGGTTCCAATTTCTAGAAAAATGCAGCGTATAAGTTACTTATATACTTATAACTAAATACGCACACCACAATATCTGTGTATTGATAAAGCTTTACTTACTAATCACTGCTGTTTCATAATTAGCTTGAACCCGTAAAACTATATATTAGCTAGTTGCTTAATGCTAGTTTGTATACACGTTTGCTTCCAGGCCCCCTCCCCGGCCCACTCCCTCCCCCTTCCCCTCCACCTGTGATGCCGTTCCAAGAGATACCTACCTCCGAACAGCTCGGCATTGACCAGCCTCTACTTCGACCTAAACTAGGCTCAAGTATAAACTTTCTTATTATTTGTCGTTAAAATTCTACAAATTAAAAAGTCTTTTTCAATATGAATTTATTAGAGATTTTGTTCTTTTTTAGTCGAATATGTAAAGAGTAGTTCAAACAATTTAAATTAAATGCGCTTAGTGTTAAGTATGAGTTACTCAGTATAATTAAAACAATTTTCATTCAATGATACCTTAATATTTCTGTCTAAAATTCATTGTAACATAGATAATCTATATGGGAGATTTCTAACGAACTAATGATCATTAACAGCTTTTATCAATCCTAAAACACAGATGTATTCCTTTGATTTTGATGATCTTTATAAAATATATTGACAAATCATCTATTCTTACGTTCTAATTACATTTGTTTTTAAAATGTTCTGTATCTTTATTTGATCCAGGAACTGTGTTCAGCGATACAGGCAGTATAGGAATTATACCAACTGATACAGGTAATGTCACCATATAATGGTTAAATTAACTAACGAGTCACTACTTTTAAACCATATTTTTTGTCAGAAATGTGTCCCCAAACGAGTCACGATTTTTTTACCATGTTATGGTGAAAGAGGGGTTTCCAAACGAGTAGCTTATTTTATACCATATTATGGTAAGAGAAATTTCCCCATAAACACACATTATATCCAAAAAGTCTGTTAACTCACACACCTATTCGTAAAAAATATAAACTTACATTAACATGTACGCTAGTATGAAATTTCAAAGTATTGTGACATTACATTTTTTATACTCAAAATTCACATAAATCTCATATCAACCAAACATATATTTATCCAATGGCTCAAGAGTGAGAAAACATATAGTAGTTCGTGCGAAGTGTGATTTCCTACAAACATTCTGAAAGTGATCATTGACGGAAGGTCTAATTAGATTTCAAAAAAGGAAATTTATACATGTGTTTTTTTTTTATAAAAGACATTCATTTAATGCACCCGCCTTAGCAGTACGTTCTATGGTATCACTTTTAACATAAAATCCCACATTTGATGTTGCCTCATTGTAACAATGACATGTTTGTAGGTAGTGTTCCATCTGAGCCTATCCCCGACCCCGCCATAGCCACACAAGTTCCTGTCCCCCAAGACGTTTTCCAACCAGGTCCCACTGATGTGCTTCAGAATCCTACGGAGGGAATCCCTATCCAAGACGCGCCGATCCCACAGCTTCCCCCACAGGTTGCTACTGACAACAACAAAGGTGGGCTTGGCAATTTTATCATGTATTTATAACGTTATTGAAAGAAAATGATTAGTACAACTTGATACAAAGGAACGTAAGTACATCATACTACATGTTAAACATGATAAAATCAATTTTATTATTAATAGTTTAAAATTATTGACAAAAAATACCAATAAAAAAACACTCGCTCTTTTGAAGAATGCTTCTTTCTAATCAGGGCTTAATTAGCCAAAGTGCTTATGTAACCAATCTCATTTGTTCCTGCTGTTTATGGAAGAAAGAACAGTTATCTTGAAAATAATTAAATACAAAAGTAGAACATAGGATTATCTAAAATTACTTTTTTGCTGATATAAAATTATTAAAGAGTAATATATCTCGTTGATTTCTATGCCAAAGGTCCTTTAAAACATATGTTGATAAATTAAGTATTCAACATATTTCAAAGGACAATCCTTTGAACTGTATAAAGATAACGAATTTTCATAGAGATTTGCATGTCTTTACCTATTATTCATGACACGCACGGCCACTCACTAAGACTTTACAAAAACTTTACTTAAACGTATAATTCATATACGTATTGTAATTAAGTGGACCAGAAATGCATGGTCTTAAAGGTGGCCTATTCCCTGATATTTATGAACATTTTGGGATCTAACACAGGTGGAAAGAAAAAGAAACGAGGCCAGCAAATGATGATGGCCGTTCTTGACCTCACAAATGCTAACAATGAGAACTTAAGCGCAATGATAAAGGCTTTACAAAACCTTGTTAAGAAACCAGTTCGTGAGTAATAGCCACGTCTGTATCGTGTCGTTGTTTGTCCACGTTACATGATCAAGGTAAACATGTGATAAATCACTTGTGTGTTTGTTATGATGACGCCACGTATCATCTTAGTGGAGTTTTACACATAAGTGTTATGTAATATTGCATGTAATAGTATACTGCCCGTGGCATTGTGTGTCTAGCTGTCCTGGCATGTAATAAATATTACTTTTCTGACGGGAATCGTGCACTTAACTCTGAGATAGAGCTGATATTGGTTTTATTCAATCACATCGCTATAGTGATATATAGAGAATATTTTCATGTTTCATTATCATATATAGCATGTACGATATAATCTACGCCGAATTTCCTATTTGTCCGGTAGTTCTATGATGCAAATACTGAAGCTGGATTATTTTTCAGCAAAAAGGATTAAAAATGATATAAAGTTTGATTTAATTTCATTTGAAATTAATAAAACCATACTTATGACAGCTCTGCTGATAAGCTATAAGTAATATTCTATAGAAGCAAACTTATGTACGATGATGCGATATTGAGCGAAAGCTGACACGCGTTTGTCTTTAGTTTACTGCCAAAACAATTTGGATTTATATAAAGAAATCTTATATATGACTTTTCTAAAACAAAGCAAAATACAAACAAAAGTAGATGGAAAATTATCGAAAAAAAGTTAGATTAAAACTTTGCTTATTTGCTCGCTTAGTTCACACGAATGGATAGCAACAGGGAGTGTTTCCCAATGTAGGAAAGGAATTTTGTGATAGGAAAACAAACTACAAAATTATTTTTTGATTCACGCTCTCTGAATCGGATCCGAAACATGATGATATCATTGCTCTTAAATGGACATCTAGAAAACGACAAACCTTTTTTTGTTTCTCTCAATCAGTTCATACATTCATTCTATATTTACAAATTATAGCGTTTCCAATAGAAGTTGTAAAAACTTTTAAGCACTTGTTTTACTAACATGATTATATTGTTCAGTATGTTATATTTGAATGTAATACGTGTTGTTATACGGTATAAAGTTTTTAATGTTATCTGTTATATATTAGTATATACTATTTATTTTTGTCCGTTTATTGTGCCAGTGACATGTTAAATGTGTATGTGAAACAAGTAAAACAGGTATAGAACGGGTCTGTGTCGCACTTTTAATGTGTCTTCTCACTCACACTTATTTTTTATTTTATTATTATCAATGATAAACACATAACACGTTTTCGATGGCTCACTACTCAATGGTTTTTTTCAGTATAAACAACAAATCTACCTCATTTGACTAATTTCGCGCAGGAAATATCTTATAGAAATGAGTTCGAAAATACGTGTGTAATTCCTCTTTGCACTGGACGATGTGTTTTCCATTTTTGTAAATGTAAAGCTATTTACATATTAAATGTAAATTCTACGAGGTTAATTAACAATCAGATATGAAATAAGTAATAAATATATAAGTTATAAGTGTAATAAAGTGTTCGCTTTACAAGTGAAAAAGAGAGTAGGAGCAAAGTGTTTTCTATATTTGGTTAATGTCAATGAAATGTTTTTGTCTATTATAATTCAATATCAATTTTCAATTGATGAATGTCATGTATATTAACGATTACAAATAATTGACTTATATTGATCATGAAATCGGAAATACATGGACATTTTACTGTATATGTGTATTTAGTGCAAATTCGTAAATAGGATAAATAAGCATTCCAAGCTTTGCTCATCTCGACGTTATTCATGAAAGAGCCTGGTTGCCATTCATGGAATATATGTATTGTTTATTCTTAACGCCATCTTCATAGATCCATATACAATGGCTACTACTCGACTGAGACGATAAAACGTATGTCTGCAATCGTTAACAGTTAATTGTTTCTGACGTTTTATTTAAGTTGCCGAGACACAGGACCCTTTTCCGGGACTAAATTTCCCGTCCGGTCCAAGTCTTCTCGGAAATCCCTCCTCCAAGACAGATATTGTTAATCCTCCAGATGCTATGATACCGCTGACAGAGATCCCTCGTCCATCTGATGCCATCATTCAAGGTCTACCAGGTAAGCACTGAGAATACATGTTATAACACACTAACAGTATTCTGACATCTAACTGCCATATGACGTGGCCTCTTTCTGTTGACAAACTGTTAACTTGTCGATATCATGTGTTATATTAACTTTATTGCCTTTGCCGAATATAACTTTTCTTTTCAATGCAATGGTTTGTCTAGTTGATATTATAAAAAAAACCATTACATGTTTCTGCGATTTATTGACTTTCCTTACCAGCAACAATTGAACCGAGAAGTAAAATAATATTATATTTTATCTCTTCTACTAACGTTAAGTGTTTGTCCTTTTACGTTGAACTTCCTAGGTGTTTTTACTTTAGTGATGGGTTATTATACCTTTTTTATGTGTTAAATTTGTTTCGGTCGATAAATGCCTCTTTCTCAAATAAAATCATCATAAATTAGATCACTATCCTATCACGCCAGGTAATTATTCCTGTGGGGATCGATCACTCCATTGGTCATCTATTTGTGGACTGACCCCGCGTATGGCCTTGGACAGCAGTTATTTCAGGCACAATGCTTCCATGAAATGGGCGCAACTCTTACGTACAATTTTGCGTGGGCTTATATTCGGTCAGTGTTTAACCGTAAACAGGGAAAATGCGTAAAACCATGAGATACCTGAACGAATGTGATAATCAAAAACAAATTGCAATGATTACCATCCAGACAGTATGCATACTTGTTCTTGTTAATTTTACAAGATAGGCATTTCAAATCGAAATTGGGAATATTTAAAATCAAAACAATCGACAACAATTCGTATTTGTTGTTTTCACTTTAAAGCGGAAATTGTGTTTCCTACTAATTCTTTACCAAGAAGAATATCATTGTCATGTAGCATCACTATTTTAGTTTTGAGGTGCAATTGACATCTGTATCAATGTACGTGATATATAATGAAGCTCTTCCTTCAGTTTTCAGCAGATGAATTTGCTCAACCGCTAGTTTTGTAAAGCTAATGCGATTCTTTGTGCTAGGTAAGTAAAGACACTCTTACGTAATATATGCACGTGTTTCTTAGGAAAACAGGGTCAATTAGGTGCCACATTTAATATATTCAATATCAACACATGTTAAGTAAGGGGAGCATTATTACATACACTGGTTTGAAAAGTAAATCAATCTTTTTTTCTCTCTCTGAATTTTACTTGATGGATTCGGAATTTTCAATCATTTTGTTAACTCTTTGAAGGTGGTCGCTTATTATCCCCAATGTATTTAACTTTCGAAATGGTCTTTATGTCGGAAGATTCGAAAATATCACACACATAAACATAGGGATCCATGGGAATACACTATCTTTTTCATTTATACGTTTTGAAGAAAGTATGCATTTCGCTTGATATTCAAAGTTATAATTGACCAAATTATCATATCTTTTCTTGTTTGTCTTTTTTAATTTTGTGAACATTATTTCTACCACCCTCCGTTTATTGTGTTATTACGTAAATATTCATAAATTTAGTTATGTAAAGCTTTCCTTTCTATCACCACCATTGAAAAACATTTCATCTTCTTCAGATAGTTAAGAATGTCAAAAGACTATGTGCTGTATTTTAAAGTGTCGCGTTGATTGCCCATAGTTACCCTATTTCAAGGGTGATAGATTCCTCTCAAAAACTCGATCAAATAACCTTATCAACTTATGTATTAGTTCCACAGGATAAGGTCAATATTTACCGCATGGCACTTGTCTTGCAAAAATACATCAACTTATAAGTACATCGTTTAAAACAAATATTACTGAGGTTAATTACTTTTTGAAAGAAGACTATTTGTAAACCTTAGATTAAATGTTTACCGATCCAAATCCCCATATTTCAGCTCTTTGTGGAAATTGATGTGTTTTCTTATTATTTGATATCGACTTTGAGATGGTATTGTCTTATCTATAATTTCATATTGTATAGGTGTGCAGAAGACTGTATGACGCCCATCTATCCACTTCGTGTCTTGCCGTGATCCCTGTAGATAATACTGGAATGAACATTTATTGCTAAGCTGAATTTGATGTTGATGAAGTGCAATCAATTTGTACTGATTATTTCAGTTTAATTATGTCTCCTTGATTTTGTTTGTTTATATAAGCTTGATTTATTGAATAAATTATTATTCTCAATTACATGACAGTTTTTTTGTATCGTTGTATAAAATAAGGAACGTTTGAAACTTTTGAAATGTATTTTGTTTAAATCTCTGACACCAGCATAGAAAAACAAGCGAATACCGAGGTGTCAACAAAACCATTATTCGAACTCAAAATCAATTAAACTTAATCAAAATATGCTCAAAGGAAAGATGTACATGGAGAGACCCTTAACAAATTACGAGGAAAATAGGACCAGGTGTTCCGAAAGGGTAAGCGTAATAAAATGATGACATTAATATCGTATCTACCAAAATGTCCTGATTATCAACTCCTAGGTCATCCATGAAATAGTTTTGGTAAAAGTAAGAGTTGTGTAACCCGTTTATTGACAAGATTGGTGAAAATTGGAGTGTTGTGGTTGAAGAGTTTCGCCATTTTATTTTAACTCCTCATTATGAACGTTATCCGTATATGATACTGTTAGGGATAAAAGGTTATCAGCGATAACATGTTGTTTGAAAAATAATCGCAAAAACTCGTTTTACATATGAAGTTTAAAAATAAATAAATACAAATAAGATATACACGACCCACTGTATCACAATCTTTCAGACAAGGCTAACATATATAAACAACTCATTGAAGTTGTAATAAATAACAGGTTGTCAAAAAATGCTAACCACAGATTGTCAGACAAGGCTAATATTATAACAACCTTTGGCACATGGTCTCTTTTGAACATTGTGAGGCGTACCTAATATTAAAACACCCTATTACAGAACTTCAGAGGAAGCCATTATATTAGCATTTTACAGATTGTCGTACGTTTCTAACAACAGAATTTCAGATGGGGCTGATATTATAACAAATAATTTAATGTCAGATAAAGCTGATGTTATAACAACATATAACGTAATGTCAGAAGGAGCTGATGTTATAACATATAACTTAATGTCAGAAGGAGCTGATGTTATAACATATAACTTTATGTCAGAAGGAACTGATGTTATAACACATAACTTTATGTCAGAAGGAGCTGATGTTATAACATATAACTTTATGTCAGATGGGGATAATGTTATAAAATATAACGTAATGTAAGAAGGGGCTGATGTTATAAAATATAACGTAATGTCAGAAGGGGATGATGTTATATAACATATAACGTAATGTCAGAAGGAGCTGATGTTATAACATATAACGTAATGTCAAATGGGGATAATGTTATAAAATATAACTTTAAGTCAGATGTGGATGATGTTATAACATATAACTTTATGTCAGATGGGGATAATGGTATAACATATAACTTTAGGTCATATTTAGTTGATGTTATAACATATAATGTAATGTCAAATGGGGATAATGTTATAAAATATAACTTTAAGTCAGATGTGGATGATGTTATAACATCATCCACATCTGACATAAAGTTATATGTTATAACATCATCCCGATCTGATATAAAGTTATATGTTATACCATTATCCCCATCTGACATTACGTTATATGTTATATAACATATAACGTAATGTCAGATGGGGATGATGTTATAACATATAACTTTCGTCAGAAGGGGCTGATGTTATAACATATAACGTAATGTCAGATAATGCTGATGTTATAACATATAACGTTATGTCAGATAGGGATGATGTTATAACAGATTATGTTTTGTCAGATGGGAATGATGTTATAACAGATGATGTTATGTTAGAAGGGGCTGATGTTATAACAGATGATGTTATGTCAGAAGGAGCTGATGTTATAGCATATAACTATATGACAGATGGGGATGATGCTATAACATATAACTTTATGTCAGATGGGGATAATGTTATAACATATAACTTTATGTCAGATGGGGATAATGTTATAACATATAACGTAATGTCAGATGGGGATGATGTTATAACATATAACTTTATGTCAGATTGGGATGATGTTATAACATATAACGTAATGTCAGATAGGGATGATGTTATAACATATAACGTAATGTCAGATGGGGATAATGCTATAACATATAACTTTATGTCAGATCGGGATGATGTTATTACATATAACGTAATGTCAGATGGGGATAATGTTATAACATATAACTTTATGTCAGAAGGAGCTGATGTTATAACATATAACTTTATGTCAGATTTAATTGATGTTATAACATATAACTTTAGGTCAGATTTAGTTGATGTTATAACATATAACTTAATGTCAGATGGGGATGATGTTATAACATATATTTTTAGGTCAGATTTAGTTGATGTTATAACATATAACTTTAGGTCATGTTTAGTTGATGTTATAATATATAACTTTAGGTCAGATTTAGTTGATGTTATATAGGGATTGAATGGATTTGTTTCATGTACATTGCGTCAATGAATAGCAGTGGCTGATCAACATATCCTGTGGAGCGCGTTCGCGCTACTCAGAAGATCAGCTACTGCTATTCGTTGCCGCAATGTACATGAAAAAAATCCATTCAATTCATATATTTATGTTACGATGAACTACAATAAAAAAAAGGTAACACGCTTTTTTGTAAATTTAATATTTTTAACAGAAGTATCGGATAGAAAACCATAATAAAGTAACTGCCAGAACTTCAGCTTACACACGAACTTCAAATGTTCGACTTCCTCAGATCAGTTGATTTTGTTGAAGCGAAAATATATCTCTAGAATCTAATCATTATCAATACCTAATATTCTTTTCATTTTTCAAAGTTGATCTTATTCTATGTTGTTTTTTGCATTAAACACCGCATATTACATATTCAAATTTGTTTATGTCCGCACTATTTCAAATTATCGGTACCATAGTAACCATCCAGGACACTCGTCGGCCGAGCACCCGTCAGCATTAGCTAATAGAGTTCGTTTGAAGTTAAATGTACAGCCGTTGAATGTGCTGTTTACCAAAAAAGCCTGCAGATGTAAATGATGATACGCTGGTGGATGAGGGGGCCTTTGTCATTACAAAGTTCTTTTAGTTAAAAGTGCAAGTTGATGTCACGGGGATTACCTATACGGCCGTTTGGGTGTTAGAAAGTTCGTGATCACGAGGAACCGATTGCGAGGCGGAAGTCAGTATTTAATATGACAATGTTATAAGTTTCTTTGTTGTTGTTTTTAAATTAGAAAGAAAAAGAATAATAGAACAATGGTGCACCATTTATGATTTTTGTAATGTTTATTATTATTTCTTGCAACTACGTTATCTCGGAGAAGGGGAAATAACTCATCTCAGAAACGGTACTATGCGTAGTAGTATGAAGTGGTCATTGTGTAAGAAATCAGCTGAATGGTTGCACGAGAATCGTTGTATTCATAGTGCATTCATGGTCTGGTCGCAGTTGTTTTCAGTTGGTAGTTTCATGTACAGAACAAACATCAATAATGTAAATGTAACAATAATGACAGATTTTCAGACGAGTTTTATTTTCTAACAATATATCGCGTATTATTTGAGGAGGCGAAAGTTATAAGGACTTAAACATCTTACATTTCATTTATTATCAAGGATTTAGAGAAAGCACATATTACCCTTCGTTCATGAACTTACGTCTGGATTATAATGTTCACTTAACTACCTAAGTCTTAAAGGATTTTAAAGGTATATGCGTCCTGTTGTCAAATTGTACTTAGCAAGAATGATTAAGCGAACATATTTCAATCTGCGTTGAAAATAATTGTGTATGTGTCTTCGTGACCTAATATTCAGGTATCAAACTTTAGAGTACCTTTATTAAATAATTATTGTCTCTCAGAATGTGGTAGCCTGCGCACTTTCTTTAACTCAAGGATGACGTCATCACGAATGCCACATGCGGTGCAGGAAGCGCTTACTCTTGTGGAATTCTTGCTTTCTTTTCTTTTTGTGGTTTTATTTTGTTCTGTTTTCATTAGCTGTTTTAGCTAAACAAGCCTTCCGGTAAAAGCATTACTTCATGTTTTGTATAAAAAAAAAAACCAGTTTGGTAACCCATGTTATCATCTTGTGCTCATGTATAAATACATTGGCGATACGTTAGAAGCATGATACAAATATTAAAGACATTTGAACAAAATTGAATTTTCTGTTTTAATTAAAATACAATGTCATATATGGAATAGCATAATTGAACAAATGAGAGATGAAAATGAAATCACGCGACATAACAATGAAATACTGCATATGCTTACAAATTCACATACACAGCCATGCTCACAACGTCCTTATCACCAGATAAGTGGGGCCTTACCTTGATATATAATTAGTGGTGCTTATACAAGAATGATAGATAAGAAATAGAAATGCATTTATGGAAAATATACATGTTGTTATGTTACACTATGCATGATAGTAGTTGATAACAACTAAATGTGTGGCTGTGACAACTAAATGTGTAGCTGTGACAACTAAATGTGTTGCTGTGACAACTAAATGTGTCAACTAAATGTGTGGCTGTGACAACTAAATGTGTGGCTGTGATTTGCAATCTTTGCGATGTGGGTTTCATGGACAATGATTTTCATACAATATGAATGGATGAATCGATTGTTTAAAATGTTGATGCAATATCTTCAAAAGAAATGAAAACAAATGATGACTAATCACTATTAGCTTAACATGATGTGTTGGCTTTGCTCCACAACAACTGTATCGGATGCCTATTCTTCTCATATTTGGAGTCGCCCTAACACGAGTCCATCGCATTCGCTTCAAGCCCTTACAGGTTCTGTCTGAAAAGAAACGATGGTCATTAATTAGGATTAAATATCTAGATTAGATGTTAGTTGGAGGAATGGATATGCTAACTTGATATATAGTTAATTGTGGTTGGTTTTGTATCCAAGCTCCCAATGAAAAGTAAGTAATAACCGAATGGTTACTGCTAGCTATAACTTAAACTTCCAACTAAATCGATAGTTTTGAATGTATGATGAGTATATGCACTGAATGTGTCTGAATTGTAAAAGTGTAATGGTATTTTTGTGGTGTTTTTTTTCCCGCGCTTTTAATGTCCATGTTTATGCTCATCGGGGATATTACTTGGAGTTGACCTTGAATAGCATGGAGAGTGTCATAGCTGAAGCAGAGTATGCTGAAACTCCGGAACACATGGTCTTATTCTCTAAAGCTTTTGATTGGTGTAAAGAACGAATGAATAAAATATTGGTATATGTCTGCAGTAGGAGTGAAAAGTAAATGATAATCAATTTGAAAAGCATATTTGTTTCCTATTTATTCCATTTTACAAAAACCTTTAATATATACGAGGCGCCAGATTCTAGTTACGTCACGCTTGACAACAATAATGTTCGACATTTTGAAAGAGCAACTTAATGCAATTACCGTTAACTGTTATTTTCTAGTCCGATTTACAGTTTTACAGTAATGTAAATGCCTTGATGTATGTACCAAAGATATACGGAAGTAGTCACTTATTTTGTCATTGTTCAATCTGCATCTGACAAAAGAATCTGCGAAATGCAATGCAGTGAATAGTGATACTGTACCGTTCTCATTGACAATATATGAGATATCTCTCACTAAATGAATTTCACCGTTTTCCTATCAGTTGTAGTGTGGAATAAAAAGATTTATCAAATTGATATAATAAATTATTTCAACGGCAAAACTTTCGTAAAATAGATTTCTTTATGAAAATACTATTAAGTTATTTAATTGTGTACCCGTATAGCTATCGGATCCTGGATAGGGATTGGAACAGCAAACGGTTGATCGCTCATGATGGTCATTGGTCCTTCGCCTGGAATATTACTTTCTGCAGACACTGTGTTGATGACCTGAATTGGCCTAACAGATGGCAGTGAATCGGCGGCGACGGAAGCATTCGGAAGTCCAATGGCAGCTGTTTCCCGCTGTATTCCCAACGGAAGTAGACTACTTTGTAGCAAATTGTCTCCAACGGTCGGTTCATTACTAGCCATATTTATTGCTTGAAAATATAAAAGATTGGTGATTCGTTTAAGACATATTTTCTGAAATATAAAAATATTCATATTTCTTTCCATGAAGTCGAACGTATAAATGACAAACGTTATCTAAGTACATTATTTCATTACTTTGATATATAACATCATATTTTGGCTTCACAGTCATAATCTATTTAAGCATATTACTCACATGCTGACAGTTCTTGTACGAATTTCCTCATGTCATCGATATTTGCCCGTGATGTCAGTGGAACTATTGCAAAGATTGGCCCCCTTCTGCGTGTTGCCTGAAACGCAGGAAGTGTCACTGCATCAGATGACTGTTCTGCGACAGCTCTTCGTAAGACTTGATCCGCTGCTGTATCCTGCATATTTGCAACAGGCCTAGTTTGGGACGCTGCAGCAGACCTTGCTGCCTGTGCAGCGACAGCAGATCTAGCTGCCTGCGATGCAGCTGCAGATCTAGCTGCCTGCGATGCTGCAACATTTCTAGCGGCTTGGGAATCTGCCAACGCGTTTATAGCTGCTTGGTTTCTGCGAGAGGCAAGGATGGCTACCCGTTGTTGTGCCGCAGCAGCTCGCGCAGTCTCTTGTGCTGCTAAGGAAGCAGCTGCTGTTTGTGATGATTGTAGAGTTGAGACTGGCAAAAAAGCTGAAATAAGAACAATACATACGTAAATTTGCATGCGGATATACATAAATAAACATATAAGAATATGTCTATTCGGAACATTTTAATAACTTCACGTCACTCGTGGCTGGGAAATATTTCTTGTATTAAGTTATATAGATATTGCAATTACATAGATGACTTAATTGTTCAATGTATTTACGTGTTGCGTTATTGAAATAATGTTATTTTACATTAGTAGTTTTGGCATGCATTATCGTGAGTACTCTCAGTAGAACATGCAGTAATTGACATCTACTTAAAATTAATAACTTCATTTACTATTCATAAATTTATGTATTGTGTTAGAAACGTAAATAGTTTCCCTGTTGCATATTCCATATTCCTGACTTGACAAATAAATAGATATCAAACTTACCTGATGCAGATACAGTACCATAAATAGGCAAGGTAAAGACCTCATCTCATCATAGTCGTCTGAATTTTCCATATAGCCGAGTTGACAAATCAATGGGTATCAACTTACCTGATCTAGATACATGCATGCCCAATGTCATTATAGCAGGCTAAATTTTCTCCGGAAATAATATCATTGGTATGAGATGTACTAAAGTAAATTAATCTTATTAATCTTCGTCAATGACCAATGAACTTACTTTTGAACACTCGTGTTCATGTTCGGGTTTTTCGTTTTAGCGAATGTGTATTTTTGCTCACAGCATTTGTTAACTTTGACATTAAGTGCAATGTTAATTGATTCAAGTATAAAGTTAAATACAATATTACACTGAACATTGTTATTGTAAGCAACAGCATCCATTAGATATTTGCAAAGCGAGTGCTTGTGAAGAGTTAGTGCTATAGCGTATGTCACCCCTGGCCCTGGATGTTTAAAGCCTGATAAACATTGCTAGTTTCTTAAAATTAACCCTTAGTAAAAATTTCAAAAGAATATATATAGATATGCTGGAGTTTCTTATCGCTAATGATTGATTTTATACCTATTCATGCTGCGTTTATTATGAGTTTCATTTTAAACGATCTGAATGCTTTCGTAAGGCTGATCAGGCTTTGAGACAATTGGGTGCTGCTTGTCATAAGTGGTAAGGTATATCAGGAATCATATTTCTGAATATTTTGTTGAGGTAGCGTTTCTTATAAATCAATGATATGCAGTCAGGCCGAATTACCAAATAGTATTAGTATATACACGGTAAAACAATGGAGTGTGCATAGAACTACACCTGAATGTATCTCAAAATTCGTATTTTACTTTCTTTTTGTGTAGAAAAACAATAGGAAGTACTTTATATATTGTCGTTTATGTTTTATTTCTAAATAAGCTAGCTCGAACACAACATATCCACACAGGCAATTGTGCTTTCATGCACGAATCTTGAAATTTAAAAATAAAAACTTCAATATACTTTTAAAAACCTCTTATCTAAATTTAAATATGTGAAACGAAATTGAAGATCAACTGCCTGTGTGGCAAAATATATCAAAGAAGGAGACACGAGACATTCACAAGGAGTATTCCGTCTTTGCGTATTGCAGAGTTATCTTCTCTTGGGAGCAGGTATTGATTGTTACGTCATTGGTTTGTGTGAGAAAATTACGTCGTTTTCTCAAAAATTGATGACGTTGCTCTCACAAACAAGTGACGTAACAATCAATACCTGCTCCCAAGAGAAGATAACTCTGCAATACGCAAAGACGGAATATGTCCAGGATAACAATATCAAGTAATATTGGTCTTATTATAAATATTCTATCTAAAAAATATCAACGAAATTGCCGAACACAAGATGTACATGTTATGTTCTATATATAGAAATATACAATGAGTGACGCTTGATGAAGTAATATATCCAACATAATGTGATTATTCTCTTTAGACAGTATTTTATGTTTGAGAATAAATTCCAAGAGACTGGAAATACATCATTATCAATTACCACGAGTTTGATATCTTGTTTATCCATTATATTAAATAAAAAGCAGATAATTCATTGTAACACGTGAGGTCATAAAGCAGATCGCAATTCAGAATGAATTGTAGCATCATGCCACGCGGTGTTACATCAGACTATGAAATTACAATTAAATATCGATTGTTTGGAAGTGATAAATCCTAAAACAGTTATGGGATATACAGTTTTAAATACATATTGGAGAATTCTATTTCAACTTTGTGATCAAATGACGAAATGCAGATTTCTTGTCGTTTGGTATCTATATATTATAACGTTCATTGTTTAAAAAGGAAGAAATGAAATAAAAATGAAATGATATGATAATTCTTATTATTTCAATAGGATAAATAATGTTGTTTGATATAAATGAAATAATAATTTCCTTTATTGTATTAAGACATAAAGTACTTAAATTGAGTGATCTAAATACTTCTGTCAGTAAAAAAAACATTTTTAGTATGCACATATGGCATAGTATCACCCACTCATTGCATATCATAAATATATATTGGATTATTTCTCGATTTTTCCGTATAATTTATCTTTCCCGTCGATCAACAGGTAGAATATACAAAATTGAAAAAAAGTAACAGTGTATTCAGATGAAGAAGAAACAAATGATTCCTTGTTAAGTTAAATTAAAACGCCCACATTGATAAACAATTGTTAATAGCAATCAAGTGTGCTTTATTACTTACACATGTGACGTGCATCGGTTAATGTCAAACCCATACCGAAATGTTACTATGTATCAGGTTTGGTTGTTGAATTATAGATGTTATATAATAATTAACATATAAGATAATACATTTTATATAATTCGTGATATTAATATTTATATATACATGTATAAATATGGGTTTTGCTGTCTACAAATGTGCTTCAAACATCAGAAATAAAACCATTTCTCACTTCTGATGTTTAGAATTAAAGGTTTAGTCAACAGTACAACATACTGGGACATATGTCCGCGCTGTTATTGGGTTATGTTACAGTGTTCATGCTGACATTGACTAATGTCTTTGTTATTGTTCACACTACATATGGCTGGGAGGACATTATAGTTGTGGTCGCATCTGACCTGTTTGCTGTGGATCCAGTCCTGCGAAGGAAACAATGAGTATATATTAATATATATATATATATATATATATATATATAAGTGGAGATTTGTAACTAACAATAAAAATAACTGAATAATTGCCTTAATAGAAATATGTTATCAGATTTATACTTATCGCAACAAATGTTACTTTTCAAGCGTCTTGATAGGTTTTGAACAGTCCGATATATTACTAGACACTATATCGGATGAAATGTCTTATTTTGCATAGAAAGAATTGTCTGAGCCTTTTGCACTTTGTTTCAAAGTGTTTAAATGAGATTGGCCTTATGTCATCGAATTTTGTCTATTTAAAATGTTACAATATGTTTTATTTATCTCAATGTGCATTAATATTTTCCAACTCCCAATGATAAATAGTCATTAAGGTCCATTACCTGTGGCCCCTAGTGAGTCTAAGTTGGCAGTAAACTGTGAGAGATCCAATTGATTCAATGAAAACCCATCCGTGGCAGTAGCAGCTGTTCAAAATAATGAAATCAGGTAGTTTTAATATCGGTTTTTACAACTCTTTGTCACTACCACTATACAACCCACCTAACTCAGATGACATTTATATGTGTTATGAATGCCATGGCTAAATTATTGACATCGAAATTAATTACAACATTAAATACCGCTGACCCTCCCTGGAAAATGGTTATTCCATCAGTTAATTCACACCCATATATTTAACATACTCTTATTTAAACTCAAAGCTGAATTGAATATATTTTCTATGATATTAAGATTTCAATATGGTAAATATAAGCACTGGACTGTTTTCATAAGGTATAATATTCAAGATAAATACTTGAGCACTCCTTCAAGAATTTGTCATTTCCAATCGGTTTTATAGTGACTATGAATGATAGCTGGAAACAGTTTAAGACTTGATATAGTATACTACAGTGATGACACAACGATATACCTTTCAAACAAGAAAAGATGTCAAGAGGTTAACAGAATAACCAATCTATACACCGATTAATTATTAACAACGTTTCTTCCGCAGTAGAAATATTCAGCTTATTCCGAATCAATCTGAAGTACATGTGAAAAGGACATGTAAAAAGGACATGTGTTATTTTCAAACGGATTTTTATGTATAAGAATCGGTTTCCTTCGACAAATTTTCTTAAATGAATATGCTTAAAATTTTGATTACAAAATGGTTCATGACAAAGAAATAAATGTTCAATCAGAACACCTCTATTTACCCCGATAGCGAACTTATACTTATAACAAAACAATTTTATAAACTAATACTAAATGCATACATAAGAATATGAAAGAAAGAAAATGATTGACATAAACCTAATAATCGTGTCTGTTTATATTTTTAAATTAAGTCGGCGAAATATTTGTGAATCAGAATATAAGCGTAACTGATATATATATATTTATACATGTATATATATCACCATGTATATATATCAGGGAGGTGTCAAGCATGGTCATTTGACCATTTACACTTATAACGCTTCTAGTTTTATGTATATTATTCGAAGTTATGCTAAAAGTAGGATGGAGACTATAAGATGTTCTATAGTACGTATAAGACTGGAGCTCTAACCTGGTTGAGAAGCCCTATTGGTTGTAACTGAATCAGTAACTCTCTGTTGGCGGGACTGCTGCTGCATTAGTTCATCAAGCATAGCCCAGTCTACATTATTGGTTAGTGATGATGATCGCTGACGGGCGGGCGCTGCTGTAAGTATACATATTACGCAATTCTACAAGGCGGCTGTTAGTGCTATACAATAGACTACTGGAATCAGCTACAAAATCAGGTTCTCATGCAATATAAGGTTACGCATTTTACAATCAATGAAGTGGTTTGCATCTAGTATGATTGAAAGATGAATTTATTAGTAATGAGAATATTTGCATAAATCCGCGATGCATTAAAATGACATTATGGAAGAATAACATTTTTGTTGTTATGTGTAGTCGACAACAATGTTTGAACACAAAACTCAACATGACACATTATGTCACTGTCATGCACGTGACTCATTGTGGAATATATCTCTACATCAGTGGTATATGTAAGGTTATAATGCTACATGTAAATATGTACGTCAATATAATGTGTACATAAGCATCACACCGCAATACGGAAACAACATTTATTGCAATGATCCACCTGTCATCCATATGAACGCATAGTGGTTGCAGATAGTTATTATTTGAACATTTAGAGTAATATTGTGTTAATATTAGGAGTCAATTTTGAAGAAAAGAGGAAAGCATCGTTGTTAAGCGGAAATAGGACAGTGTTAATACAGGTAAGATATTTTTGTTCTATATTTACACACATGCATTTTCAATCGTCATACAGCACAATTTTAATTGCTTACGGAAAGTCAGTACACAAACATAATAAAGAAGCACATTTATTCTGAAACAAAACACATTTCTGCAAAACAATAACAAGATGTCTGTGTTGGAATTAAACCGCAAATACAACATAAAGCGGGCATTGCATGCAGCAAAATGTCCTTTATTCGCTTTAGAATAGGCAATACAATAAGCATAGGTGCATTCAATATTGATGTTTGTGCTATCAAATGATTACATCATTATTGGAGTACAAAGTTTCAGGCTTTATGTAATTTAATACAAAAATGCAAGTAACATTCATGCGCATAAAAGTACTGAACTTAATTATGGCACCACAAGCGTAAAGTCCCGTAATCAGCAGTATAATGCACCAAGTAAAGTGACCTACGATTACTAGTTATCCACATGTTGTCAGGGATAGTTTGAAAAGTTACAGTTCCGTCAGACATGGGGAATCCTGAACACAGTAAAGGGATATTAAAACATATTCATACAGTATATACTAGAATTCTGTTCCACTCATTTGGTCATTGCGTATATATTATTAAATGGTTAAATACATTCAAATAACACATAAAGGTAGAAATAAATTCAAATTAGGAGAGTCTTCTCATTAATCGTCTAACGTTTATCTTTTAATGTAAAAAAATATGTAGATACTTCTTGAATAAATATTTCACGTCATCTCCTGTATTTCATACATGAGAAACATCTATCCATATAGAAATAACGTTTACTTTCTTGAACGCACCTGAATCCGTTATGAATGTTTCCGGTGTGCTAGTCTGTGTGATAAAGGGAAAACTACCTCCAGTATCAGCGGCCTGCTGTAGGGTCGGTACAAACGTCACGGTACCAACAGTAGGATCACTCTGAATGTTACTACTGAATGGAATGTTACTTGTGATGGTAACGAAATTTCTCCCTTGTTGTCTTGCAGGAAGAAACATTTGTTCAACACGAGGAGGTAACTGTCCGGTGTCAAAAGCAGCCGAATTTCCTTCAAAGTTTTGCATTATTGAACCAATTTGTGAGGATGGCTCGTTCACCATTTGAAAGACACTATTAGAAGCATCGCCTCTTGTGAATTGTGGGTTGGCGCCTTGTTGTAAAATTCTGTTCAGCAAAGGAAAATTTGCTCCTGCATTGACGCTATCAGGCTGGTTTGGTTGACCATTGACTTGATTCATGAAGTTACTTATTGCTTCAGCTCTGTCGGATGTAGCTGTATTTTGATCCTGCATTTGGAAATTGGTGACCCTTTGCCGGAGCAAGTCATTTCGGAGCTGTGAGGTTGGAAACTGATTACTGCTGCCCTGTTGGTTAACGTCGGTGGTAAATTGAGTCGGGAATCGATTGGTTTCCTGCTGATTGGAGTTTGGTTGGGTAAAACGTTGGGCAGTATTGGCGATGATTGAATTCAGGTCTCCTAGAAGAATACACCACGTGTTTTGTGGATATCATGTGATATATCGTCGTTAACATTATAGGCCGGTCTATTTTTACTTTATTTTGTTATCAGTAAATCCTACACGGAGTGAACCATGTCCAGTCATACACTAATAGTTGTCCGAGGGAAGACGGGTGGACAAAATTGATCAATATTAAGTTAGCAATTGAAAGTCAATCAGAATTCAAGAGAGAAGGCTGATATCTTTACTAAGTTAGCAACATTTTAGAAAATCAAGCAGATGGCAACATGGTGACTAACCAGTTGGGACATTTGATGTTATCCCTGACAGGGATTGCTGTCCTCCATTTCTACCTAACACATTCTGCATGATGTTTCTGGCGGCCGCAGTGCTGATTACTGTCATGTGATATAACATTTTTTTATTAGTGTACTATCACTTATAGTACGTGTTGTTATAATGCTGTTATAGGAATTATTATTTATATAAGGAAATGCTATATTTATATGCTATCCATTGATCAAAACAATCAGATACTAGGGAAGTCCTCGCTATTAAAATGTTGTATTTTAGTATTTTAGTATTTATATTCCTTGGAAACAATATACATAATGAGTCTTCTTTTCAGCGTTAATAGTAATTGTATCATATAAAAAACTCGTTTAATGTCAGCAAGTTCAACAAATGATATAAAGGTCACAAACAAACCATTTCGACCTACACCGTTATTCCCAAATGTCCGAGGCTGCGAACCCGTAAACCGGGTCCCGAACGGTGTTAACGATGTCCCTAGATTCCCTGCCAAATCAAAAATGTTTTATTTTTATTTTGACTTACTCTATATATGTATATTTTTTTTTAATTCTCATTATTATAATGATATGATGTCAAGTGAGCAAATACGCAACGACGGCTACGTTATAAGAGCTTCATTAAGGTAGTTTTCATTCCATGTTTATTTTTTAAAATCTCAATCAAAGACAAACATTGAACTAGTTTATGATAAATAATATTCAACGTGGTGACATATATGATATATTGAGGTAATTCATCAAGATACAATTTCCACAGCCACGTATCTAATCACAACACATATAACCACAGCAACAATACGCCACAATAAATTGAACAGATTAGACGACATGAATTATGATACACATTTTATCTAACGAATCGGTTAGGACACAAACATCTACAACACCAAACACAAACCATTGAAACTCCGGACCGGCTGTTGACGTCCGTTTACAAAATCCCTCCAGCTTCCGGCTATCGGGCTGGGTGTGGTGGTCGTAGTGGTTGAGGTGGTAGTTGTGCTACTGGTTGGGTAAGCTATACATTCACAGTGGTCATCAAGTTAGTTTGAAACCATAAGCATTTCTTTAACGATGAATATGTATCGTTTTTAAAATCATCTGCTATATCATTCGTTCATCGAAAATGTATTCAGTTGTTCTAATTTTGCATTTTCGTGAAAATCAATCCAGTATATAATCAAAAATTGAAAAAAGCGTATGACAAATTTTGCACACCTGGTAGTCCGAAAGCTACGTTGATCTGCGACATGTTTCCTGCGTGTGCAAACAGCGAGTTAAGTGGAGCTGGGACTGCGTAGGTGTAGATTTAAACAATAAACAAGGCTGATCACTTTAGTAATAGTAACGATTATCAATCAGTTGAGAAATTAGAGTATTTTAGGCTTTTAATTTATTAAAAGTAACATTTCAAACTGTCACTGAATTAGTCCATATATAAACAAATATTATAACACTTGGATAAGCATTCTGTTTAACTTATTTATAAGAAGTGAAATATAGTATAGTTTTACATGTATTTATGGAGTCAACTTGCAGCATTCATTAAAGTAAAAGCTTCTTTACTAAATCTAGCCGACTATTGTACACTTTATCTCATGCGCTAGAGGTCGCTATTCCATTGCTGACTGCTCAACTATTATGGATTATCTACCAATTTCTTTTTTATAAATTTGTCCTCAAATAATCTATAGGTGCTACAAAACATAAGCTACATACACTCTTAGCATTGAACTAAAGCAATGACAACGTAACTAGCGTTGTAACATATAATTCTTATTTTTTAACTAGATCTTTGCAATAAATACATTATTTTGAATTACTTAACATAAAAAATTTCTCGGATTATTCAATAGGGAAATGTGGATGGAAACTTAAGTTGAATATCTCCCTTTAATCTCAACATAAATACATTTATTGATAGAAAATGAACACAGTCATAATTCAAATATGACTAAGCACATGCAAAATGGTGAACAATAGAGAAAGTTTTACTTACATAATACACATGTGACTATACTTCTACAGAAAAACTTCATCGCTGTCTCCTTGTAGGTCCGGCTAATGAATCAATCTACGGTCTACGTCATTCTGACACTACTTCCGCCAGAGTAGCCATGCGCTTTCTGTATCTAGCAATCTAGAGCGTCCATCAAACTTACAATGCTGAACATGACCTAATCACACCCACAACAACATGCGAAAATCTTTTTCATTAAAAAAGCAACTGTTTTCTATCTATGACGCAATCTTGACATTATATCGTTCACCCTCAAACCTGGCTGAAATATGTTGTTTAACGCTTCTAAGCGTCGTCTGGCCAGTCTTTGGTCAGGCGTAAGATTCTCTTCCTCATCGCCATCTGTAATCGATGTTTGTACTAGAATGAGGACCACATGTAGATAATAATATGTTTCCTAAATTTCATATTTGTTCTCTTTTTTTCAAGATGAAAACACTGTTGTGTTAAGATATTTTTTCAATACAAATGTGTGCCTCAAATAATACAACGTGTTCAATGACGTTGAAAAAGAATCCCAGAAACCACAACAAAGCACAACAGACGTTGGATACCCTTTAAATTCTGTTATGAAATCATTAAGCAAGTCTTAATACCCATTACTTTTCCTATCGAAAGA